ATATTACTATGTATTTAATTGACTTACAGTCTACCACCACTGTATATATAACTATATATATCATTTAGTTCAAACTTGATCACATGTACATTTGTATTTACCCAGTTTGCATGCCAATACTGTTGTGTATAGCTTTTCGTAGGTCATACTTTGAACAGCATATTGCACAGAGTATACAGCATGTTACTAAAAATACATTCTAGAAATCCCCAATTTGTCTGAGAAAAAGACCTAATCACTTAAACTTAACGTTAACCAATGAACCATAAAAATGGGGTCAATGTCAGCTGAACCCTGCCAGCCACTAAGGACAACGGACATAAGCGAGACAAAACTTCCATATCATATTCACTTCTGCAAAATCATATTTTGAAATTCTTGTTATTTCTAATAAATCTTTCATACAGTTTTTAAATTCATTTAATCTAATACGTTTCTTATGAAAATGCTAGAGTGATATTTATAGAATAACTAATCCAAGAATTCAAATATAGAAAAATATTCTACAAGTGACCGAACAACGCATTGATTCACAAATACGCTTATGAGCTTATTAACAAATATTTTTTCAATATTTCAATTCTTGGATTAGATTTTCTTTTTATTACATTGACCATGGACTTTTTTATGGAAATAAATTAGAAAATGGAAGGAACTGTATTTTTTTCTACGCCTTCTCAATTCGGTTTGATGCAACGTCTCGACAACACCCATTGTTATATGACGTAAGAGGAGTTGAATTATCCGGTTTTTATTTCACTGGGAAATCACGGTAATTCATTGCAATCAATATAATAATCTTTTTTTCCACTCCAACATTTTTTTTCCAATGTCTGTATCACAGTGACCATTTTTATTTTCCATAATGTTAATGTATAATGTATATTTGCATATCTATTAAATAAGGTTTTATTTAGGTACAAAAGATGCTGATTTTCAACTGATTTTTATAGTTTGTTGTTATGTTGTACTGTTACATCCATGTTAGGTTAAGGGGAGGGTTTGGCGCCAACAAAATAGTTTAACCCCGCCACATTCTGTATGCGCCTGTTCCAAGTCAGGAGCCTGTAATTCGATGGTTGTCTTCTGTTGCTGTATATCATATTTGTTTTCCGTTCATTGTTTTGTACATAAATCAGGCCGTTAGTTTTCTCGTTTGAATTGTTTTACATTTGTCATTACGGAGTCTTTTATAGCTGACCATGCGGTATGGATTTTGCTCATTGTTGAAGACCGTGCGGGGACCTATATTTGTAAAATTCTATGTCATTTGGTCTCTGGTGGAGAGTTGTCTCATTGGCAATCATACCACATCTTCTTATTTCTATATTCTTTGAATTCTAGTTTCAAATATCCTTCATAAACATACACATATTGCATCGGAAGAAAATGCGCTATCTATAACTGAACATATGAAACTATGAGGCAACTAAAACTTCTCTCGACTCATTTGACCTATTCCTTATAAAATTATTGCCGAAATAAACGTTTTGTGGAAATTTGATTTAATCCCTATAGAAACATACGCGTGCGAGCGCTTACAAGACAATTATTTGCGTAATTGAATTTTCTGAGGGATATTATTACGGAAAAAGAAATTGGCAACAATGTTCTGACTCCAATAAGATATTGCCAAATATGAAGCTTTCATACGTTCGTCAATATCCGCCGAAAAGTTGAGCCCGCAAGAAGACTATTTCTCACGTAATTTGTATTTCTTTGACCATTACTCTCGATAAAAAATTAATATGCTTTCATTTCCGAACTAGAATGAGGGATATTGCCAATTGCATTTCATAAAAAAAATCAACAAATTCCGTCGAGAAACGGACCTGTCAGACTCGCGTTTGTTATCCCCTGCTACGACGCGACGGGTCGCAAAAAGACCTGCTGTTTGAAACAGTTATGAAAAAAAAGAGTACATGTATTCAGAAACATAACTAAAATGCACTGTAAAAAAGATAGTGAAAAACTACTGATCCAAATAAAGCATAATAAACATTGTTCTTAATGACCAGTTTGAAACAACACAATAAAAGTATGATAATGAGCACATATGGTAACCGTTAACTTATTCAGTGTAATTTATGCACAGCTGTTTTAGAATCGGCTTTATTCAGAGCTTGACATATTGTTTAGACACCCTGTCTTTCGTTGAAGATGTTTATTTGCGTCAGTAGTTTACTTTTGAATATCCTACATCTCCTTTTTTATTCAGAAGAACCATGAAAAGAAACATTTAAAGATACTGAAAAAAATGCTATTAAAAATAAGTACTAATATATCCGTTTTAAACACTCAAATAAGCAAAGCAAACTTACAAACATGTCTTAATTTCTAGATCTAATTGAACACAGAGAGGTGATACCAAGGGGCCCATAAGAAATCATAACTAAAACAGAACACCATGTATGAAGAAGATGTGGTATGATTACAAATGAGACAATTATCCGTCAGTGTTAAAATGACGTTGATGTAAACAAATATAGGTCACCGTAAGGCCTTCAACAATGAGCAAAACTGATACCGTAAGGTCAGCTAAAGGTCCCATGACATGACAAATGTGAAACCATTAGATTGCAAGTGACAGGCAATAGAAGTCTTTTCCAATTCAGAATCATCCAGAAATGTGAACACTGTTGAAATGTAAATAACTAGATTGAGACTGTGTTAAAGTACAAGCTCAAATAAAACTACGAAAACAATTAACTTCTAGACTCGTCACAGATTTTCAAACCAATTTTCGATTATTCCAGGACTTCCAATTCGATATATAAAATCATTTTAGAATCACATGACAGGCGATATCATAAATTGCAGAAATTCAGGTAACATAACTTATTCAGTTTATCTGTCTGTCTGCCGTCCGTCCGTCCGTCCGTCTTTTATTTGACTTAATTCTAGTACCTTTATATTTTTCCATTTAACAAGACTATGCATCCTACCTGCAAATATCTAGGACAGTAAAAGATAGAGAGTGGTAAAGTTATTGCTAAAGAAATGTCACTGGAATAAAGGACAAAGGACAAATTGATGTGTCAGGCAGAAACTCCGGACATAAAGGCTGCTATACCAGATTTAAGGGATTATCTGTTTTATCCCCTTTATACATAAATGTAAAAATTAGAGGAGATATGCAGTATATATGTCCATGTAACAGCAACTCATGGAATAATAAACTGTTGACACAGAGATATGTCTAGCCTGTCGGCAGAAAATTCTGAAAAAGACAATCTGATGGACAGCAACATTGCTGATTAATTCTAAGTTGCTGGACCATGACATAGAGGACAGGGCGTCAAAATTATCGTCAAACTGAGATGTACTGATAGTAATGCAACTTTAAAGAAAATATCATTGTCTATCATAAGTAGTTCCTATCAAACTAACTTAAGCAGAAAACTTAACATTGAAAAATGGTAATTAATTGAAAGTCACTGGACCATGACCTTCGTTGGCAGGGCTTCAAAATAGTCTTCAAACTAATATGTACTGATAGTAATGCAACTTTATAAAAAATATCATTGTCTATCACAAGTAGTTCCTATCAATCTGACTTAAAACAGGTGAGACAGAGAACCAAAAGAAATCTAGGTTCAACAATTTTCAGTAGACCGGTGTCTTTACAAGATGTCAGCTCGAAAGCATCCCAAATTCTAATAAAGTTGTGAATAAGTGTAGAGGCATCTTTAACAAAGACATGGTAATTTCAGTAATGACTACCTGCTGTCGATGCAGATATTGATTCCAAAAGTACTTGACAATCCCACTAAACTTATAGCAGAAAGACAGAACAGATGGATGGTCATATTGAGTACTGTAACTTTCAGCCACTGGTGTGTAGTGTTTTAGAACTGTGATAGTAAAATGAAGATAATGAAAAATGATTTATTCTATGATAGAAAATAAGAAAATATGTCACACAATTTACACATGACCCATACAGGATACCACTTTACACCAAAATAGACTCTGTCTACTAAGCAATCATTTTCTATTTATAAATGCTAGTAGTTGTTACTAGTAACTGGGTTTTGGATCATTAACTGAACTGACATATATGAGTAAAGAAAACTTTTCTTTAATCAAGTTTAACACAAGGAATACTGTGCTATGTGAATCAATAAGTAAACAATAGTCCTCGGTCAACATTAAAGGAGAATGTGTGAAATCCACAGTGTGTAAAGGGCATTCATTTCTAAAAACAAATGAATAGTAAGCATGGAATTTTGTCAAATTGTTCTAAATAAATGAAGAAATAAAACAAAACATCAATTATTCGATTTTAAAGATGTGAATTCAATCATGGATGCAATTAAGGTACTCCTCATTACAGAATTATGGGTCGTTTGGAGGAGGATTCAAACCCATTTTTCTATGATTCAATATGGATTCAAAATTAAATTGGTGGAATTATACAGTAAATAAGAATACATCTACTAAATAAACACAATACGGAAACTTTTGTCTAGATCATAAATAAATGTAGGTGAGAAAACTGTCAAAATATATGCAATTTGGGTACCCTCACCTTAAACACCAAATAAAATAAGTAATTTTTTCTGGTTTCACCAACAGTTGACACTGTTCCAATTTTAATGTCTGTAATGAACTGCTGTTATTATCTGCAGTTACCAACAGTAATTTACAGATAGAAAATGACAGCTATTGGGATAGAATCCTTTTTTGGTTGAATCATTACACTGCCAAAATATATACAAGAAAAAATGGTAAACCTTCTACTAGGGCAGTCTTTTCTAGCATATCAATGTGCTGTTTTATGAATGATGTACTTACATGGCTTTGTTTATAGTAAGTATAGTCAAAGAAATATGAAAAGCACTGCTGCATACAACAAAGAATGTAAGGCCTACAATAACTTACAAAAATATCATTCCGTTATTTTCATACAAGAAAAATAATAACTTTAGTTCCCAATACAAAATACATCCAATCAAGCATAAGCATAAATGTGGATTCAGTCTTAGAAAAAACAAACATTAATATAAAAAATAATTTATTTCTGATTGCAACCAATAGAATAATTCCTGGCTTGTGTAAGAAGGCAGTGTATTACAATTGTTTTATACTTTCAGTGTTGATAGTCCTTTACTGATAAGAAAAGGTTCCTGTTCCGGATCCCGTCCCAAGAAATTTCTAAGCATATCACTGGCATCCTGTAAAAGAAAAGAATAAAATTAATATTTACCACTGTTAATATATGTACAGGTGTAGATTTGAACACCCTGGAGTAGTACACAGAAAGTCAACCAGAAGTTAGTACATGGTACTGGTGGGTGTGAAAAACTCCATATTCACAGGTGAAAGCTTACTAATTCATCTCTAGTCTCAGTCCTACTATGTTATTTATGTAGGCTTTAATACTAAATAATGAATCTGACATCAATAACTATTAAACCAGAATAATATAAACTATATGTAGGCTTTAACACTAAATAATGAATCTGACATCAATAACTGTTAAACCAGATTAATATAAACTATATGTAGGCTTTAACACTAAATAATGAATCTGACATCAATAACTGTTAAACCAGATTAATATAAACTATATGTAGGCTTTAACACTAAATAATGAATCTAACATCAATAACTGTTAAACCAGATTAATATAAACTATATGTAGGCTTTAACACTAAATAATGAATCTGACATCAATAACTGTTAAACCAGATTAATATGAACTATATGTAGGCTTTAATACTAAATAATGAATCTAACATCAATAACTGTTAAACCAGAATAATATAAACTATATGTAGGCTTTAATACTAAATAATGAATCTAACATCAATAACTGTTAAACCAGAATACTATAAACTATATGTAGGCTTTAATACTAAATAATGAATCTAACATCAATAACTGTTAAACCAGAATAATATAAACTATATGTAGGCTTTAATACTAAATAATGAATCTAACATCAATAACTGTTAAACCAGAATAATATAAACTATATGTAGGCTTTAATACTAAATAATGAATCTGACATCAATAACTGTTAAACCAGATTAATATGAACTATATGTAGGCTTTAATACTAAATAATGAATCTAACATCAATAACTGTTAAACCAGAATACTATAAACTATATGTAGGCTTTAATACTAAATAATGAATCTAACATCAATAACTGTTAAACCAGAATACTATAAACTATATGTAGGCTTTAATACTAAATAATGAATCTAACATCAATAACTGTTAAACCAGAATACTATAAACTATATGTAGGCTTTAATACTAAATAATGAATCTAACATCAATAACTGTTAAACCAGAATACTATAAACTATATGTAGGCTTTAATACTAAATAATGAATCTAACATCAATAACTGTTAAACCAGAATACTATAAACTATATGTAGGCTTTAATACTAAATAATGAATCTGACATCAGGAACTGTTAAACCAGATTAATATAAACTATATGTAGGCTTTAATACTAAATAATGAATCTGACATCAGGAACTGTTAAACCAGATTAATATAAACTATATGTAGGCTTTAATTCTAAATAATGAATATGACATCAGGAACTGTTTACCCTCCAGAGAACCTTAGCTCCTAACAAGATTATGGTTGGGTTCATGTTGCATAATCTGAAGTTTTTCTTCTCGGCCATGGTGTTCTGTTTTTATTGGACTTATGATTTCTATTGCCCATTTGTGTTTCCCTTTTTTTTAATCAAATGTAAATATTGGTTATTTCACAAAGTAATAAAATATATATGAACAAAATGTCATATAATGTGACTAGTAAAATAAACTAACCAATGATCCACCTGGTTGTAAGATGTACTTTCTATAATCTGCACCAACTTTAGGACTCATAATACCTTCTTTCCTGAAGCGTGAATAGAACATGTCCATACAGAACACTTCACTCCACTGTAAAACAACAACAACATTGATTATTAATTGTGTGTAAAGTAACTAGAACATGTCCATACAGAACACTACACTCCACTGTAAAACAACAATATTGATTATTAATTGTGTAACATGAATAGAACATATCTATACAGAACACTTCACTCCACTGTAAAACAACAACAACAATATTGATTATTAATTGTTTAACATGAATAGAACATATCTATACAGAACACTTCACTCCACTGTAAAACAACAACAACATTGATTATTAATTGTGTAAAGTAACTAGAACATGTCCATACAGAACACTTCACTCCACTGTTAAACAACAACAATATTGATTATTAATTGTGTGTAAAGTGAATAGAACATATCCATACAGAACACTTCACTCCACTGTTAAACAACAACATTGATTATAAATTGTGTAAAGTAACTAGAACATGTCCATATCGAACACTTCACTCCACTGTAAAACAACAAAAGCATTGATTATTAATTGTGTAAAGTGAAAAGAACATATCCATACAGAACACTTCACTCCACTGTAAAACAACAACAACATTGATTATTAATTGTGTAAAGTAACTAGAACATATCCATACAGAACACTTCACTCCACTGTAAAACAACAACAACATTGATTATTAATTGTGTAAAGTGAATAGAAAATATCCATACAGAACACTTCACTCCACTGTAAAACAACAACATTGATTATTAATTGTGTAAAGTAACTAGAACATGTCCATACAGAACACTTCACTCCACTGTAAAACAACAACAACATTGATTATTAATTGTGTAAAGTAACTAGAACATGTCCATACAGAACACTTCACTCCACTGTAAAACAACAACAACATTGATTATAAATTGTGTAAAGTAACTAGAACATGTCCATACAGAACATTTCACTCCACGGTAAAACAACAACAACATTGATTATAAATTGTGTAAAGTAACTAGAACATGTCCATACAGAACACTTCACTCCACTGTAAAACAACAACAACATTGATTATTAATTGTGTAAAGTAACTAGAACATGTCCATACAGAACACTTCACTCCACTGTAAAACAACAACAACATTGATTATTAATTTGTGTAAAGTAACTAGAACATATCCATACAGAACACTTCACTCCACTGTAAAACAACAACAACATTGATTATTAATTGTGTAAAGTGAATAGAACATATCCATACAGAACACTTCACTCCACTGTAAAACAACAACATTGATTATTAATTGTGTAAAGTAACTAGAACATGTCCATACAGAACACTTCACTCCACTGTAAAACAACAACAACATTGATTATTAATTGTGTAAAGTAACTAGAACATGTCCATACAGGACACTTCACTCCACTGTAAAACAACAACAACATTGATTATAAATTGTGTAAAGTAACTAGAACATGTCCATACAGAACACTTCACTCCACTGTAAAACAACAACATTGATTATTAATTGTGTAAAGTAACTAGAACATGTCCATACAGAACACTTCACTCCACTGTAAAACAACAACAACATTGATTATTAATTGTGTAAAGTGAATAGAACATATCCATACAGAACACTTCACTCCACTGTAAAACAACAACATTGATTATTAATTGTGTAAAGTAACTAGAACATGTCCATACAGAACACTTCACTCCACTGTAAAACAACAACATTGATTATTAATTGTGTAAAGTAACTAGAACATATCCATACAGAACACTTCACTCCACTGTAAAACAACAACATTGATTATTAATTGTGTAAAGTAACTAGAACATGTCCATACAGAACACTTCACTCCACTGTAAAACAACAACAACATTGATTATTAATTGTGTAAAGTAACTAGAACATGTCCATACAATACACTTCACTCCACTGTAAAACAACAACAACATTGATTATAAATTGTGTAAAGTAACTAGAACATATGCATACAGAACACTTCACTCCACTGTAAAACAACAACAATATTTATTATAAATTGTGTGTAAAGTGAATAGAACATATCCATACAGAACACTTCACTCCACTGTAAAACAACAACAATATTGATTATTAAATGTGTAAAGTGAATAGAACATATCCATACAGAACACTTCACTCCACTGTAAAACAACAACATTGATTATAAATTGTGTAAAGTAACTAGAACATGTCCATATCGAACACTTCACTCCACTATAAAACAACAAAAACATTGATTAATAATTGTGTAAAGTGAAAAGAACATATCCATACAGAACACTTCACTCCACTGTAAAAAAACAACAACAGAATTGATTATTAATTGTGTAAAGTAACTAGAACATGTCCATATCGAACACTTCACTCCACTGTAAAACAACAAAAACATTGATTATTAAATGTGTAAAGTGAAAAGAACATATCCATACAGAACACTTCACTCCACTGTAAAACAACAACAACATTGATTATTAATTGTGTAAAGTAACTAGAACATATCCATACAGAACACTTCACTCCACTGTAAAACAACAACATTGATTATTAATTGTGTAAAGTAACTAGAACATGTCCATAAAGAACACTTCACTCCACTGTAAAACAACAACATTGATTATTAATTGTGTAAAGTAACTAGAACATGTCCATACAGAACACTTCACTCCACGGTAAAACAACAACAACATTGATTATTAATTGTGTAAAGTGAATAGAACATATCCATACAGAACACTTCACTCCACTGTAAAACAACAACAACATTGATTATTAATTGTGTAAAGTAACTAGAACATATCCATACAGAACACTTCACTCCACTGTAAAACAACAACAATATTGATTATTAATTGTGTGTAAAGTGAATAGAACAAATCCATACAGAACACTTCACTCCACTGTAAAACAACAACAACATTGATTATTAATTGTGTAAAGTGAATAGAACATATCCATACAGAACACTTCACTCCACTGTAAAACAACAAAAACATTGATTATTAATTGTGTAAAGTGAAAAGAACATATCCATACAGAACACTTCACTCCACTGTAAAACAACAACAACATTGATTATTAATTGTGTAAAGTAACTAGAACATATCCATACAGAACACTTCACTCCACTGTAAAACAACAACAACATTGATTATTAATTGTGTAAAGTGAATAGAACATATCCATACAGAACACTTCACTCCACTGTAAAACAACAACATTGATTATAAATTGTGTAAAGTAACTAGAACATGTCCATATCGAACACTTCACTCCACTGTAAAACAACAAAAACATTGATTATTGATTGTGTAAAGTGAAAAGAACATGTCCATATCGAACACTTCACTACACTGTAAAACAACAACATTGATTATTAATTGTGTAAAGTGAAAAGAACATGTCCATATCGAACACTTCACTCCACTGTAAAACAACAAAAACATTGATTATTAAATGTGTAAAGTGAAAAGAACATATCCATACAGAACACTTCACTCCACTGTAAAACAAAAACAACATTGATTATTAATTGTGTAAAGTAACTAGAACATATCCATACAGAACACTTCACTCCACTGTTAAACAACAACATTGATTATTAATTGTGTAAAGTAACTAGAACATGTCCATACAGAACATTTCACTCCACGGTAAAACAACAACAACATTGATTATTAATTGTGTAAAGTGAATAGAACATATCCATACAGAACACTTCACTCCACTGTAAAACAACAACAACATTGATTATTAATTGTGTAAAGTAACTAGAACATGTCCATACAGAACACTTCACTCCACTGTAAAACAACAACAACATTGATTATTAATTGTGTAAAGTGAATAGAACATATCCATACAGAACACTTCACTCCACTGTAAAACAACAACATTGATTATTAATTGTGTAAAGTAACTAGAACATGTCCATACAGAACACTTCACTCCACTGTAAAACAACAACATTGATTATTAATTGTGTAAAGTAACTAGAACATGTCCATACAGAACACATCACTCCACTGTAAAACAACAACATTGATTATTAATTGTGTAAAGTGAATAGAACATATCCATACAGAACACTTCACTCCACTGTAAAACAACAACATTGATTATTAATTGTGTAAAGTAACTAGAACATGTCCATACAGAACACTTCACTCCACTGTAAAACAACAACATTGATTATTAATTGTGTAAAGTAACTAGAACATATCCATACAGAACACTTCACTCCACTGTTAAGCAAAACCATTGATTATTAATTGTGTAAAGTAACTAGAACATGTCCATACAGAACATTTCACTCCACGGTAAAACAACAACAACATTGATTATTAATTGTGTAAAGTGAATAGAACATATCCATACAGAACACTTCACTCCACTGTAAAACAACAACAACATTGATTATTAATTGTGTAAAGTAACTAGAACATGTCCATACAGAACACTTCACTCCACTGTAAAACAACAACAATATTGATTATTAATTGTGTGTAAAGTGAATAGAACATATCCATACAGAACACTTCACTCCACTGTAAAACAACAACATTGATTATAAATTGTGTAAAGTAACTAGAACATGTCCATATCGAACACTTCACTCCACTGTAAAACAACAACAACATTGATTATTAATTGTGTAAAGTGAATAGAACATGTCCATACAGAACACTTCACTCCACTGTAAAACAACAACATTGATTATTAATTGTGTAAAGTGAATAGAACATATCCATACAGAACACTTCACTCCACTGTAAAACAACAACAACATTGATTATTAATTGTGTAAAGTAACTAGAACATATCCATACAGAACACTTCACTCCACTGTAAAACAACAAAAACATTGATTATTAATTGTGTAAAGTGAAAAGAACATATCCATACAGAACACTTCACTCCACTGTAAAACAACAACAACATTGATTATTAATTGTGTAAAGTAACTAGAACATATCCATACAGAACACTTCACTCCACTGTAAAACAACAACAACATTGATTATTAATTGTGTAACTAGAACATATCCATACAGAACACTTCACTCCACTGTAAAACAACAACATTGATTATTAATTGTGTAAAGTAACTAGAACATGTCCATACAGAACACTTCACTCCACTGTAAAACAACAACAACATTGATTATTAATTGTGTAAAGTGAATAGAACATATCCATACAGAACACTTCACTCCACTGTAAAACAACAACATTGATTATAAATTGTGTAAAGTAACTAGAACATGTCCATAAAGAACACTTCACTCCACTGTAAAACAACAACAACATTGATTATTAATTGTGTGTAAAGTGAATAGAACATTTCCATACAGAACACTTCACTCCACTGTAAAACAACAACATTGATTATAAATTGTGTAAAGTAACTAGAACATGTCCATATCGAACACTTCACTCCACTGTAAAACAACAAAAACATTGATTATTAATTGTGTAAAGTGAAAAGAACATGTCCATATCGAACACTTCACTCCACTGTAAAACAACAAAAACATTGATTATTAATTGTGTAAAGTGAAAAGAACATATCCATACAGAACACTTCACTCCACTGTAAAACAACAACAACATTGATTATTAATTGTGTAAAGTAACTAGAACATATCCATACAGAACACTTCACTCCACTGTAAAACAACAACAACATTGATTATTAATTGTGTAAAGTAACTAGAACATATCCATACAGAACACTTCAATCCACTGTAAAACAACAACAACATTGATTATTAATTGTGTAAAGTAACTAGAACATATCCATACAGAACACTTCACTCCACTGTAAAACAACAACAACATTGATTATTAATTGTGTAAAGTAACTAGAACATGTCCATACAGAATACTTCACCTCACTGTAAAACAACAACATTGATTATTAATTGTGTAAAGTAACTAGAACATATCCATACAGAACACTTCAATCCACTGTAAAACAACAACAACATTGATTATTAATTGTGTAAAGTAACTAGAACATATCCATACAGAACACTTCACTCCACTGTAAAACAACAACAACATTGATTATTAATTGTGTAAAGTAACTAGAACATGTCCATACAGAATACTTCACCTCACTGTAAAACAACAACATTGATTATTAATTGTGTAAAGTAACCAGAACATATCCATACAGAACACTTCACTCCACTGTAAAACAACAAAAACATTGATTATTAATTGTGTAAAGTAACTAGAACATATCCATACAGAACACTTCACTCCACTGTAAAACAACAACAACATTGATTATTAATTGTGTAAAGTAACTAGAACATATCCATACAGAACACTTCACTCCACTGTAAAACAACAACAACATTGATTATTAATTGTGTAAAGTAACTAGAACATGTCCATACAGAACACTTCACTCCACTGTAAAACAACAACATTGATTATTAATTGTGTAAAGTGAAAAGAACATATCCATACAGAACACTTCACTCCACTGTAAAACAACAACATTGATTATTAATTGTGTAAAGTAACTAGAACATGTCCATACAGAACACTTCACTCCACTGTAAAACAACAACATTGATTATTAATTGTGTAAAGTGAAAAGAACATATCCATACAGAACACTTCACTCCACTGTAAAACAACAAGAACATTGATTATAAATTGTGTAAAGTAACTAGAACATGTCCATACAGAACACTTCACTCCACTGTAAAACAACAAAAACATTGATTATTAATTGTGTAAAGTGAAAAGAACATATCCATACAGAACACTTCACTCCACTGTAAAACAACAACAACATTGATTATTAATTTTGTAAAGTAACTAGAACATATCCATACAGAACACTTCACTCCACTGTAAAACAACAACAACATTGATTATTAATTGTGTAAAGTAACTAGAACATGTCCATACAAAACACTTCACTCCACTGTAAAACAACAACATTGATTATTAATTGTGTAAAGTGAATAGAACATATTCATACAGAACACTTCACCCCACTGTAAAACAACAATATTGATTATTAATTGTGTTAAGCGAAAAGAACATATCCATCACATGCAAATACGAATTCAAAAATATAATGATAAATCATGCATGTACACTACTAGAAAGATTCTATAATCAGACTGTAGTAGGTCTACCAATCAGTTCCTTTCATGTTAAAAATTATTTAGGTTGATAGTAGAAAGTAATGGATATGTGATCAATCAGACCCATGAATTTCCTCTGGTGACAAATGGGATTCAGATTGGAAAGATGTGAGGATTATAAAGGGTCTTTTAATATTTCTGTCAAGCTTGTCATGAATGGCATCTCTATTGCAACACTGCTTGTAAGATTCAATTTGATTGGCTAATTCCTCAAATATCAGGGCTTCAATACATTGCTGTCAGAAATACCTACCAGATATCCATAGTATTGAGAATCATAACCTCCAGCTATATGTCCAAAGGATGCTGGCATGTTTGTCCCTGGTGTTGCTGGAAATCCTAAAGTCTCCTCAGACAACTTGGAAAATATAGATGCTGTGTCAGCCTATAAATAAAAAAAAGAATTAATTATTTAACAAAATACACCTGAATATGAATGAACTAGTCTATTGACTTGAACATATTCATAACTGATAAGTGAAAATAGAAGCATGTCGAAATTCTGCTACTGGTCTTATTAAAAGTTAATTTGTGAATGATCTTATTAAAAGTTGCAAACCTGATCCATTCTGTGAATGGTCTGATCAAAGGTCCCTAGTAATATCTGTCTAAGATTAAATACTCCAGCATTAGCTTTCCTACTATCTAACAGTTTCTGTAACAAATCATCAGGTATGGCAGATCCATCTTTATAATGAGCTGACATTCTACTGAGTGGTTCCTTCTCCCAACACCAATTCTCTAACATCTGTGATGGAGCTTCAACAAAGTCTCTCTCCACATGTGTACCACTGTAAAAATAATAGATAACAATCATTGACAACTGATCTCAAAGTCTCTCTCCACATGTGTACCATAATAGATAAAAATCACTGACAACTGATCTCAAAGTCTCTCTCCACATGTGTACCACTGTAAAAATAATAGATAACAATCACTGACAACTCATCTCAAAGTCTCTCTCCACATGTGTACCACTGTAGAAATAATAGATAACAATCACTGACAACTCATCTTAAAGTCTCTCTTCACATGTGTACCACTGTAGAAATAATAGATAACAATAACTGACAACTCATCTCAAAATCTCTCTTCACATGTGTACCACTGTAGAAATAATAGATAACAATCACTGACAACTCATCGCAAAGTCTCTCTCCACATGTGTACCACTGTAGAAATAATAGATAACAATCACTGACAACTCATCTCAAAGTCTCTCTTCACATGTGTACCACTGTAGAAATAATAGATAACAATAACTGACAACTCATCTCAAAATCTCTCTTCACATGTGTACCACTGTAGAAATAATAGATAACAATCACTGACAACTCATCTCAAAGTCTCTCTCCACATGCTCTCTCCACATGTGTACCACTGTAGAAATAATAGATAACAATCACTGACAACTCATCTCAAAGTCTTTCTTCATATGTGTACAACTGTAGAAATAATAGATAATAATCATTGATAACTCATCTCAAAATGTGTCTCTTATTAATGATTGATTGTTGGTTGCTTAATGTCCATCTCTTATTAATGTGTAGAGATGTTATCTCAATGATATTCATTCAATATACATTTTTTTTATATGTGTTATGTGTATTGTTAATTTCAATATTTATTTATAACTTTTCTATCTATGCTGTATACACCTAAAGTCATTTTATTCACATTTTTTTGTGTGCAAATTTCATGATATATTATCTGACAATCAAAGTCCCATAACTCTGGAGTGACAAACAGGAAAATATTAAAAAATCAAAAGTGAGCTTCCTTCCATCAATCTCAACAATGAAGTAAAATTTGGAGGAAATCAATACAGGAATACTGGAGACAAAGCGCTATTTGGGAAGAATTGCCTTAAATGTAACAGTAAAGTTCAGTAACTCTGAACAACAAACCAGATAATTAAAAAAATAACAAGGGCGCTTCCTTTCATCAATCCCCACAGTAAAGTAAAGTTTGGAGGAAATTAATTCAAGATTACTGGAGTTAGTGAGGTATTTATGAAAAATTTCCTTAAATCTAATGGTCAAAGTTCAGTAACTCTAGAATGACAATTCCAAGAATAAAAAAAATCGAAAGGGAGCTTTCTTGACGGACATTGGTATACCATAATACCACTGTAAAAAAAACAAATTGAGTGTTTATTAATGAAAACCAAAGAGGACATCTTCATATGAAAAACATGAAATGTTGGGTATATATTGGGATACAGCAACTCAACATTTTAAAAAATATGATGAAAGAACAGAGTTCCAATGTCCCCCGCGTTGCACTTATTTAATATTTCCAAGGGGCATAACTCTTTAAAAAAAGTTGATCGTCCACCATTATAGAACTTGTCCTAGATATTACTGATATTGACCTATAGTATAAGTTTTATAAAAATCTGGCAAGAATTGTACCTGTGAGAGCGCTAACGAGGCCATTTTCCATAAATTTTATATTTCCAAGGGACATAATTCTTTTAAAAAAAGTTGATGTCCACCATTTTAGAACTTGTCCGAGATATTGCTGATATTAACCTATAGCATAAGTTTTTTTAAAAAAATCTGGCAAGAATTGTACCTGTGAGAGTGCTAACGAGGCCATTTTCCATAAATTTAATATTTCTAAGGGGCATAACTCTTTTAAAAAAGGTCGATCATCCACCATTTCAGAACTTGTCCAAGATATTGCTGATATTAACCTATAGTATAAGTTTTATAAAAATCTGGCTAGAATTGTACCCGTGAGAGCACTAACAAGACTGGATGGACGGACGCCCGGTATTTCCATGTCCCCCACAACGCGTTACGCGTGGGACAAAAATACATCTTGTTATCAGCTTACTGTTTTAAGTCTATATTGGGTTTCCATATATCATTGAAGACCTTCCAGCAGCAGTTCTGTGAAGAACAGTAAAAATGTACTGTTTGCCTATTTTCCAGTATTTAAATGAGAATCCTTACTTAACATCCTACACCGCACACCTGTGTACCAAGTGGTAATTAAAAATTTGCACACTTTTTGAGTTCATGTTTATCAAGTCTTATCTTCCTAATTAAACATTATGACTGACGGTTGTAGAAAATAAGTACAAACCTAAACAAAGGAAAATCAGCTTGGGCACAGATCTGGTGCATAACATGTCCAAACTCATGGAAATACGTCTCTACCTAAATAATAGTATCATAGTAATATGTTAGTGTCATCATACAAAATAATGAAATCAGAGGTCTTACCACAACATAAAAACTTTTCAACCATCATACAAAATAATGAAATCAGAGGTCTTACTACAACATAAAAACTTTTCAACCATCATACAAAATAATGAAATCAGAGGTCTTACTACAACATAAAAACTTTTCAATCATCATACAAAATAATGAAATCAGAGGTCTTACTACAACATAAAAACTTTTCAACCATTATTCAAAATGTAGCATATAAAAAGAGAGTAATGGACATCAAAATATGATTATGCTGTAATTAACTGTCTGCAAAATTATTTTAAGTGTATTCTAATGAAGATCAAACCAACTTTCTAGATATATTTCTTGTAAAGGGGAAGTAACTGTTTAATTATTTTCCTTAAGATGGCAACACCAGTAACTTCCCCTTGTATTTAATGAGCACTTGTAACAATTTGTTATGTACATTTGAAACTGTAAACACATTGTAGAATTCATACTTTACCTTGGAGAGATTCTAGTAAGATATACCTGGTAAGGGCGGTGGTTGGGATGGTTATGTAGGGTTAGGAAAACATTTTTTCAACCCACTATCCAAGGAATATTGATTTGAAGTAAGATTTGGTAATATTAATCAGTTCAACATTCCATCACATGCTCAATTAATTCTTTATGCCTTCAATACCAACTCTGTTGCCTTTAAGCCATCTGATCATTCCATAGCCTCATTTTGCATTCATTTCAAGATTCACTCAAGTCATATTTAAATCATGCTAAATTTTTACTCCAAATCATTATTGACATACAGTTTTACAACCTATAAAATACTTGCAACAAAGTATGCTCACTGAGGCTTGAAACAAGGTATGCTAGCCTTTCAACTTACACTGATGCTTGAAACAAGGTATGCTAGCCTTTCAACTTACACTGATGCTTGAACCAAGGTATGCTAGCCTTTCAACTTAAACTGATGCTTGAAACAAGGTATGCTAGCCTTTCAACTTACACTGATGCTTGAAACAAGGTATGCTGGCCTTTCAACTTAAACTGATGTTTGAAACAAGGTATGCTAGCTTTTCAACTTACACTGATGCTTGAAACAAGGTATGCTAGCCTTTCAACTTACACTGATGCTTGAAACAAGGTATGCTAGCCTTTCAAAAAATTGAAAACAACACGTTTAATAATTTCATGCGTCCGAAGCGCTTTTCTGGATTTACCTTCATCAGGAACGCTCAAAGCCAAACATTTGAAATCCGAGGGATGTATAAGTACCGAAACAGTTGAAGAGCTATATGACAAAAATACATAAAACAAATAGCCAAATTCATCTAAGATCAACTTTGCCTGAGGGAGTTGAAACCTTAAGTTTCTTTATAATTTCAAAATTTATAAACGGACAATTTTTTTCAACTTACACTGATGCTTGAAACAAGGTATGCTAGCCTTTCAACTTACACTGATGCTTGAAACAAGGTATGCTAGCCTTTCAACTTACACTGATGCTTGAAACAAGGTATGCTAGCCTTTCAACTTAAACTGTTGTTTGAAACAAGGTATGCTAGCTTTTCAACTTACACTGATGCTTGAAACAAGGTGTGCTAGCCTTTCAACTTACACTGATGCTTGAAACAAGGTATGCTAGCCTTTCAACTTACACTGATGTTTGACTTAGTATTTGAAACTTTTTTATGGAATATTTTTGTCAACATCATAAAAGCAATATACTGTTTAAACTGAAAACCAAATGTTTGAATTCTGTTTATACTTTTTCCCTCTTACCAATGACTGATGACAAAACATTTATTGAAAAAATAGAGCAAGGTAGGCCAGCTTGTTTTTCATGAATCCAATTTCCTTTGCAGCTATTTAGCAAGAGTCCTTTAATTTTCTCTAATAAACTATAAATGAGTACAACAATTAAATCTCTTTGCATATACTCTGAATTTAATAGCTACAAATACCAAAGCTACACTAGTACTACATACTGAGGACATGATATAACTTAGGCTGATATTTAATCAGCAATTTCTGCAGAGAAGTGGACAAATGGTTTCTTACAAATACTTGCTGATTACTATATACCTCCTTTGATATTGTTATTTAAATGGTTAATTTGTACCTCATCATGAGTGAGTAATGATGGTTTATCTTCGGTTGGTTTTGTAAAGTTGGCCTCCATAGCAGCTACTGAAATCTGTCTTTTACCATCAGGCCCTATACAACCTGGCTGTAATATATAATATAATAAAATGCTCCACTGGGGCGCAGCTTGATATGACCGCAGAGGTCGAACCCTGAACAGTTAGGGCAAGTATGGACACAACATTCAAGCTTGATACAGCACTAAATTTGGATTGTAATTAAGTATTTGACACTGCATAGGTTTCTGACACAGAATGAATGTGGTCTAAGAACTTAAAAATTTTTAATTTACCTATTCAAACCATATCATTATTATTTGCTTTTATATATAAATCAGAAATAACCAATTTAAAATGGAAAATTTTAAAGAAAAAAACGAAAAAAAAATCCCCCCCCCCAAATTTTTTGAACCCCCTTATGATTCATCATCCCAAAGTTCAATCCCAGCCTTCCCTTTGTGGTATGGTACCTTGCAGTACAATTTCAGAGAGATCCATACACTTGAACACAAGTTATTGTCTGGAAACTAGAAAAATGCTTGTTTTTTGGCCCCTTTTTAGCCCCAAATTCCTAAACGTTTAGGGCAATTACCCCCAAACTCAAACCCAGCTTTCCCTTTGTGATATGGAACATTGCAGTACAATTTCATAAAGATCCATACACTTACACACAAGTTATTGTCCTGAAACTAGAAAAATGCTTGTTTTTTTTGCCCCTTTATGGCCCCTAATTTCTAAAATTTGGAGGCAATTACCCCCAAAATCAATCCCAGCCTTCCCTTTGTGGTATGGTACCTTGCAAAACAATTTCAGAGAGATCCATAAACTTGAACACAAGTTATTGTCTGGAAACTAGAAAACTGCTTGTTTTTTGGCCCCTTTTTAGCCCCTTATTCCTAAACGTTTTGGGCAATTACACCCAAACTCAATTCCAGCTTTCCCTTTGTGATATAGAACATTGCAGTACAATTTCATAAAGATCCATACACTTACACACAAGTTATTGTCCTGAAACTAGAAAAATGCTTGTTTTTTTGCCCCTTTATGGCCCCTAATTTCTAAAATTTGGAGGCAATTACCCCCAAAATCAATCCCAGCCTTCCCTTTGTGGTATAGTACCTTGCAAAACAATTTCAGAGAGATCCATACACTTGAACACAAGTTATTGTCTGGAAACTAGAAAAATGCTTATTTTTGGCCCCTTTTTGACCCCTTATTCCTAAACGTTTTGGGCAATTACCCCCAAACTCAATTCCAGCTTTCCCTTTGTGATATAGAACCTTGTAGTACAATTTCATAAAGATCCATACACTTACACACAAGTTATTGTCATGAAACTAGAAAAATGCTTGTTTTTTGCCCCTTTTTGGCCCCTAATTCCTAAAATTTGGAGGCAATTACCCCCAAAATCAATCCCAGCATTCCCTTTGTGATATGGAACCTTGTGGTACAATGTCAGAGAGATCCATAAACTTACACACAAGTTATTGTCATGAAACTAGAAAAATGCTTGTTTTTTTCCCCTTTTTGGCCCCTAATTCCTAAAATTTGGAGGCAATTACCCCCAAAATCAATCCCAACATTCCCTTTGTGATATGGAACCTTGTGGTACAATGTCAGAGAGATCCATACACTAACACACAAGTTATGTCTGGAAGTTACAAAAATGCTTATTTTTGGCCCCTTTTTGGCCCCTAATTCCTTAACTGTTGGTACCATAACCCCCAAAATCAATCCCAACCTTCCTTTTGTGGTATTGAACCTTATGGTAAAATTTCATAGAGACCCATTCACTTAAACTAAAGTTAGAGTGCGAAAACCAATGTGTCTTCGGACGACGATGACGACGACGACGATGCCAACGTCATACCAATATACGACTGCAAAATTTTTTTGCTGTCGTATAAAAACAATATCAAGTCTGGTATAATGTTTTGTCTAGGCTACAATCAACAATCAAGTCATCCATATAACTACTGAATTATAAATATTCCATCTCTCTGGAACCGGACTTTTTTATTTAGAGAAGGAAGAAAGTTGATAAGCTGGAGATAATTCAAAAGATATGTTTCAAAACATCCAGATTGATTAGCTAGAGACTATTCAAAAGATAGATTTCAATTGAGCCAGATTGATTAGCTAGAGATAATTCAAAAGATAGGTTTCAAATGAGCCAGATTGATTAGCTCAAAATAATTCAAAAGATAGGTTTCAAATGAGCCAGATTGATTAGCTCAAAATAATTCAAAAGATAGGTTTCAAATGAGCCAGATTGATTAGCTCAAAATAATTCAAAAGATAGATTTCAAATGAGCCAGATTGATTGTTACAAATGAGCCAGATGTAATGCTTAACAGATATTGAATTGAAAAGAGATGAAATTTATTTCATGATCTGACGTAAGATATATTTAGTAAGTCAATGAAATCTTTTTATCAAATGAACTTACCTGTAGACCAAAACAAGCAGCATGGCCATACTTTCCTTCCCTAGGATGTAAGTCTAAGTAGAAATATCCCAGAAGCTGCCTAGAGTCTTTGTCTGTCACACTGTACTGCAAACACAAATTCTCTTTACAATATACTATAGTATTTAAATTGTTACTTTGGCAATTACAATTTATTTTTAGCATGAAGTAACACACAATATCATACTATATATACCACTACTAATTCAGAAAGTGAATCCACATCAGATCTGAAGGTTGCAATAACCAATGAGATCCACATCAGATCTGAAGGTTGCAATAACCAATGAGATCCACATCAGATCTGAAGGTTGCAATAACCAATGAGATCCACATCAGATCTGAAGGTTGCAATAACCAATGAGATCCACATCAGATCTGAAGGTTGCAATAACCAATGAGAAGAATGGTCACAGACATTTGTTTGAGATAAATGGCTAATCCTGATAAGCATTGTGTGTACCTCCTTTTATATTTATAACTAGAATACTTGTGAACTCTTCTATTGACTTTAGACATAATAAATCATTTCTAAAGGGTAAGGTAAAATTCAAACTGTTAGCAAGAAGTACCAGCGTTGCATATCTGAAAATTCCTTACACAGAACAACTACACATGAATTCCAGAACATATATAGTCACTGTTGCTTTACCAAAGAAAATCAAAAGGAATTGGATGTGGTTTTGTTTTACATTTATATTTTAATACTATTTGTCAATTAGGGAATTTGATATTGATTGCTGATGTTTGATAGTCTCTGTTAAATTTATTCACAAGTAACCATGTCTCAGTGGGAGTAAGAGAAATTGTTTGGACACTTATCTATATTGAAGTTTGCTTGTTGATCACTCTATATCTAATTGAAGTATACTCCAAATCTCATTTATTCAAAAATATGTTGAGATTGAAGAATATGCAAATCAAATGAAACATAGTGTTTCCTCTTTCAACCAGCACAAGGTGCACTATAAATTAATGTCATGGTAGTTAAGGAAGATCAACACATGTCTATCTTACAGCAAGTCAATAAAAGAAGATCAACACGAGCAGATATTTCTGTATAAAGAAAGACAACTCAAAATATTCATTCTATGTGACTCCTGTATACACTCATCCAATGGTCAGTGCTTTAATACATGTCATGATTTAATGTATTCATTTTGATCAATCATTTGTTGATACATTTTGTAATAGTTTCACAAAAACCACACTTTTAAATCCATCAATCACAGATAATCTTGCATAATTAAGTAGTTTTCCTTAACAGCCAATTTTTTGGTTATAAAGCTCCCATGTATTTCGAAAATGTTGGCTCTGATTATCCCTAACTGAAGAAACCCTTCAAATCCAGCATAGTCCCTATGTTTTATTTTGATTTACTATTTACATATTTACACATCTGTTGATGCTTGATTTCTGATAGTTATTCATTTCTAATCATGTTGCCATTCTTCAACATTCCACCAAATATACTAACCATAGTCACATCAGGATGGTAGACCTCTGCTCCTTCAATTAATTTGAATTCTAGACTGAGTAACTCCTATAAATAATAATGATTGATTATATTGAATATTGATAATATTGATGATATTAATGTAAACAAAAAATTACTTTTGAAATTAAACAAAACGTTACAATATCATACTAGGTCCGAGTACACAGTTATCGTCCTTTGATTTTCGTTGTCCACGAATATAGTCCCTAGTGTGGACAGTGTGTTACTTGCCAATTTTTTTTATACCCCTTCCAAATTTATTTCTTCATGTTTTATGCCTCAAATAGCAAGTAGGGGGATGAAATTACACTGTAAAAAAATTTGATTCATGAATTTTAAAATAAAGTAGTGATTTGGTCCAGCTGGAAAAGGTTAAAAATTAGCATTTCGGAAGCTGTCAAAAGATTTCAAGACTCCCTTAACATAAAATTATCCATAGTTTGAGTTAGAGCCGATGAAGTTTTCTATAATTTTGATATAATTTGTCCCAAAAGTAGTACAACACACTGTAAAAATATTATTGAGAAAACGCAGGTGGGATTTTTTTTATTTCCATTTATTGTCTAAAAGAAATTTACTACGAAATAACTGTGTACTCGGACCATACAGACTTTCAGAAAACATTTCAAAATAAACAATCTTTTTGTTATACATCAACAACAAAATAAAGCAAGCAGACATTTAAAACTTTGGATGTAATTATTATTAAGTAATTTTAAAGAAATTATAACAATTTTGATTCTTGCTATAATATACCTGGTATATATACAATTAGCCTTTAGTAACAAGAGACTGGATTCTTGCTGATGAGCCAGTCTTTAACATAGGATTACCTGGTATATATCCAGTAAGCCTTTAGTAACAAGAGATTGGATTCTTGCTGATGAGCCAGTCTTTAACATAGGATTACCTGGTATATATCCAGTAAGCCTTTAGTAACAAGAGATTGGATTCTTGCTGATGAGCCAGTCTTTAACATAGGATTACCTGGTATATATCCAGTAAGCCTTTAGTAACAAGAGATTGGATTCTTGCTGATGAGCCAGTCTTTAACATAGGATTACCTGGTATATATCCAGTAAGCCTTTAGTAACAAGAGATTGGATTCTTGCTGATGAGCCAGTCTTTAACATAGGATTACCTGGTATATATCCAGTGCCTTTAGTAACAAGAGATTGGATTCTTGCTGATGAGCCAGTCTTTAACATAGGATTACCTGGTATACATCCAGTAAGCCTTTAGTAACAAGAGATTGGATTCTTGCTGATGAGCCAGTCTTTAACATAGGATTACCTGGTATATATCCAGTAAGCCTTTAGTAACAAGAGATTGGATTCTTGCTGATGAGCCAGTCTTTAACATAGGATTACCTGGTATATATACAATAAGCCTTTAGTAACAAGAGATTGGATTCTTGCTGATGTCTTTAACATAAGATTACCTGGTATATATCCAGTAAGCCTTTAGTAACAAGAGATTGGATTCTTGCTGATGAGCCAGTCTTTAACATAGGATTACCTGGTATATATCCAGTAAGCCTTTAGTAACAAGAGATTGGATTCTTGCTGATGAGCCAGTCTTTAACATAGGATTACCTGGTATATATCCAGTAAGCCTTTAGTAACAAGAGATTGGATTCTTGCTGATGAGCCAGTCTTTAACATAGGATTACCTGGTATATATCCAGTAAGCCTTTAGTAACAAGAGATTGGATTCTTGCTGATGTCTTTAACTTGGGTTTCCTGGTATATATCCAGAGCCTTTAGTAACAAGAGATTGGATTCTTGCTGATGAGCAAGTCTTTAACATAGGATTACCTGGTATATATCCAGTAAGCCTTTAGTAACAAGAGATTGGATTCTTGCTGATGAGCCAGTCTTTAACATAGGATTACCTGGTATATATCCAGAGCCTTTAGTAACAAGAGATTGGATTCTTGCTGATGAGCCAGTCTTTAACATAGGATTACATGGTATATATCCAGTAAGCCTTTAGTAACGAGATTGGATTCTTGCTGATGAGCCAGTCTTTAACATAGGATTACCTGGTATATATACAATAAGCCTTTAGTAACAAGAGATTGGATTCTTGCTGATGAGCCAGTCTTTAACATAGGATTACCTGGTATATATCCAGAGCCTTTAGTAACAAGAGATTGGATTCTTGCTGATGAGCCAGTCTTTAACATAGGATTACCTGGTATATATCCAGTAAGCCTTTAGTAACAAGAGATTGGATTCTTGCTGATGAGCCAGTTTTTAACATAGGATTACCTGGTATATATACAATAAGCCTTTAGTAACAAGAGATTGGATTCTTGCTGATGAGCCAGTCTTTAACATAGGATTACCTGGTATATATCCATTAAGCCTTTAGTAACAAGAGATTGGATTCTTGCTGATGAGCCAGCCTTTAACATAGGATTACCTGGTATATATCTAGTAAGCCTTTAGTAACAAGAGATTGGATTCTTGCTGATGAGCCAGTCTTTAACATAGAATTACCTGGTATATATCCAGTAAGCCTTTAGTTACAAGAGATTGGATTCTTGCTGATGAGCCAGTCTTTAACATAGGATTACCTGGTATATATACAATAAGCCTTTAGTTACAAGAGATTGGATTCTTGCTGATGAGCCAGTCTTTAACATAGGATTACCTGGTATATATCCAGTAAGCCTTTAGTTACAAGAGATTGGATTCTTGTTGATGAGCCAGTCTTTAACATAGGATTACCTGGTATATATACAATAAGCCTTTAGTAACAAGAGATTGGATTCTTGCTGATGAGCCAGTCTTTAACATAGGATTACCTGGTATATATCCAGTAAGCCTTTAGTAACAAGAGATTGGATTCTTGCTGATGAGCCAGTCTTTAACATAGGATTACCTGGTATATATCCAGTAAGCCTTTAGTAACAAGAGACTGGATTCTTGCTGATGAGCCAGTCTTTAACATAGGATTACCTGGTATATATCCAGTAAGCCTTTAGTAACAAGAGATTGGATTCTTGCTGATGAGCCAGTCTTTAACATAGGATTACCTGGTATATATCCAGTAAGCCTTTAGTAACAAGAGATTGGATTCTTGCTGATGAGCCAGTCTTTAACATAGGATTACCTGGTATATATCCATTAAGCCTTTAGTAACAAGAGATTGGATTCTTGCTGATGAGCCAGTCTTTAACATAGGATTACCTGGTATATATCTAGTAAGCCTTTAGTAACAAGAGATTGGATTCTTGCTGATGAGCCAGTCTTTAACATAGAATTACCTGGTATATATCCAGTAAGCCTTTAGTTACAAGAGATTGGATTCTTGCTGATGAGCCAGTCTTTAACATAGGATTACCTGGTATATATACAATAAGCCTTTAGTAACAAGAGATTGGATTCTTGCTGATGAGCCAGTCTTTAACATAGGATTACCTGGTATATATCCAGTAAGCCTTTAGCAACAAGAGATTGGATTCTTGCTGATGAGCCAGTCTTTAACATAGGATTACCTGGTATATATCCAGTAAGCCTTTAGTAACAAGAGATTGGATTCTTGCTGATGAGCCAGTCTTTAACATAGGATTACCTGGTATATATCCAGTAAGCCTTTAGTAACAAGAGATTGGATTCTTGCTGATGAGCCAGTCTTTAACATAGGATTACCTGGTATATATCCAGTAAGCCTTTAGTAACAAGAGACTGGATTCTTGCTGATGAGCCAGTCTTTAACATAGGATTACCTGGTATATATCCAGTAAGCCTTTAGTAACAAGAGATTGGATTCTTGCTGATGAGCCAGTCTTTAACATAGGATTACCTGGTATATATCCAGTAAGCCTTTAGTAACAAGAGATTGGATTCTTGCTGATGAGCCAGTCTTTAACATAGGATTACCTGGTATATATCCAGTAAGCCTTTAGTAACAAGAGATTGGATTCTTGCTGATGAGCCAGTCTTTAACATAGGATTACCTGGTATATATCTAGTAAGCCTTTAGTAACAAGAGATTGGATTCTTGCTGATGAGCCAGTCTTTAACATAGGATTACCTGGTATATATCCAGTAAGCCTTTAGTTACAAGAGATTGGATTCTTGCTGATGAGCCAGTCTTTAACATAGGATTACCTGGTATATATACAATAAGCCTTTAGTAACAAGAGATTGGATTCTTGCTGATGAGCCAGTCTTTAACATAGGATTACCTGGTATATATCCAGAGCCTTTAGTAACAAGAGACTGGATTCTTGCTGATGAGCCAGTCTTTAACATAGGATTACCTGGTATATATCCAGTAAGCCTTTAGTAACAAGAGATTGGATTCTTGCTGATGAGCCAGTCTTTAACATAGGATTACCTGGTATATATCCAGTAAGCCTTTAGCAACAAGAGATTGGATTCTTGCTGATGAGCCAGTCTTTAACATAGGATTACCTGGTATATATCCAGTAAGCCTTTAGTAACAAGAGATTGGATTTTTGCTGATGAGCCAGTCTTTAACATAGGATTACCTGGTATATATCCAGTAAGCCTTTAGTAACAAGAGATTGGATTCTTGCTGATGAGCCAGTCTTTAACATAGGATTACCTGGTATATATCCAGTAAGCCTTTAGTAACAAGAGACTGGATTCTTGCTGATGAGCCAGTCTTTAACATAGGATTACCTGGTATATATCCAGTAAGCCTTTAGTAACAAGAGATTGGATTCTTGCTGATGAGCCAGTCTTTAACATAGGATTACCTGGTATATATCCAGTAAGCCTTTAGTAACAAGAGATTGGATTCTTGCTGATGAGCCAGTCTTTAACATAGGATTACCTGGTATATATCCATTAAGCCTTTAGTAACAAGAGATTGGATTCTTGCTGATGAGCCAGTCTTTAACATAGGATTACCTGGTATATATCTAGTAAGCCTTTAGTAACAAGAGATTGGATTCTTGCTGATGAGCCAGTCTTTAACATAGGATTACCTGGTATATATCCAGTAAGCCTTTAGTTACAAGAGATTGGATTCTTGCTGATGAGCCAGTCTTTAACATAGGATTACCTGGTATATATACAATAAGCCTTTAGTAACAAGAGATTGGATTCTTGCTGATGAGCCAGTCTTTAACATAGGATTACCTGGTATATATCCAGAGCCTTTAGTAACAAGAGACTGGATTCTTGCTGATGAGCCAGTCTTTAACATAGGATTACCTGGTATATATCCAGTAAGCCTTTAGTAACAAGAGATTGGATTCTTGCTGATGAGCCAGTCTTTAACATAGGATTACCTGGTATATATCCAGTAAGCCTTTAGTTACAACCTTCATGGGGAAATATTCCTTAAGTTTCTCATGATCAACAGCATATTTTTTCTCTTCTGCCATACTCATGTAATAACGGAAATCCCAAAAGTTTATCTTCCCATCAAACTCATACCCATATTTATCACACTGCAAAATAAGCATCTCATTTCATATAAATTAATTATCAAACTATTTGAACTATCATTATTGGAAACTGGGAATTGCTCACAATGTTGTGTTCCGCTCTTGTTATTAGAAATGGACTAAAAATTGCATGCTCAGTGGATATTTAAAAAAAAGTCTTGTCAAACAAGAAGTGACTGCTTAGTAGATCTGAGAATCCCTGACATAATTTGACAGCATTTATACAATTAGAGATCAAATATCACAACATTTCATAATACAGAATTTGAGTAGTATGGCACAAATATTACTGAAGGACAAGGTCATTCCAGTATACCACCCATTCCATGAATAGGGGTATAATAATTTTGTTTTTATATAAATATTTGAATTCTATTTATTCCATCATTCCCTGCCATTTCAAATAGCCTATTAAGAAAGTGCTTGAATGACACATTCACTATGATCCATATAGTCCCAATAATCTTGGCTCAGAGTTGATTATCCACTACCATTTGATAGTTTTTATTTCCATGAAAGGTCAGATCACATTCAGGACTGAACTCTGATATGTATTTCTTTAAACTCTAAAATCGATGTTTATAACATCAAGTTTTACCTGATCCTGAACTATGTGAATTAATTTTTTTTTATCCAAAATCAATCTAATTTTTGTTGTCCCTTATTCTAGTATAAACATTTTTAAAGTATAAAATAGTAGTGAATAGTCAATTATTGAGTCAAAATTATGGCATGATACATTAACTATAACCTAGAAAAGATCATGATCATACAATTAATTAATTATAAATTACCTCTTCCTTCTTGTACTCTAAGAACAGTGACATCTCGGATTCCTTTAAAGCTTGTAACTTTTTTGCTAGACCAGAAAGGAATGAAGTGACAGCCTCAGGAGTTTTAGCCATTCTCATATCTAATACAAAAGCAGAATGTGTAGGGAAGCCTAGAATCTGAGCTTTCTGAAAGAAATAATTAAAATATTGCTGTCATGGTTCTTATGACTATACAATTTTCAGCATTAAAGTTGGTATTCTTCTGTTCAAACTTTCATTTTAAACTTGGAACCTCAATCATTATTGTCATATATAAAACTCTATTATACAAAAAAATAACATTTCTTCTGATTACATTTTCTAAAATTTTAATTAGTAATATTGATATCAGGTTTCATTTTTTAATTTTTACATACCTCGTGTCTGAGTTTTACTAATTCTTCTAAGATAGCAGTATTTTCTTTTACACATCTAGAAAAGCAAGATAATTAATTTTTTTTTACAAATCATATTTGACTATTGACTATTCTTGTTTTTAAGGATGTCCTTTGCATTATCATTTACTTGATCAAACATGGACAAGGAAAATAAGAGAGTCAAGCCCTTGTGAACTTATGGCAAAATAATACATATAACCTGAAATATGTTGACATCATTAATGCAAGTGATTGTTGGTCAATGTCATTTTGATTGTCTTTTTTTTATTATTTAGCTGTCAAAAATGCATGGAAAAAAATAATGTGATTTTTCTTATTACTTTAGCCCTGATATTACTAGATTATTTAATCAGAATTTCTGGAAATTAATTTTTTTGTGACAGCAATGAACCATTTATAATATTAACAATATGAAACTAGATGTATTGTACTTTAAAATTTGCCAGCAAGCATCAATTCATAGATTGATGGCAGTACAATGCAATACTCAATTGGCAAAATGGCAGTATTCAAACATTACTCCATTCTAGTCCAACTATAAACTTAATAAGAAAATCTGATTAATATGTATAATTAATCACAATTAATGAATACAAGTACACTGAATTGATGACATGAAATCTATCAACTGCATCCACTCAAAATTGATATTACTAAAATAGTAATTTAGATTGTAAACAATTCACTTTATACCTGGAGTTAAATGCAATTTCCAATTGTTTCCTTGTGTTGGGGTTTCTAGCTTTCTTCATACAAGGGAAGTAATGTGGATATTTCAGTGTCACCTTCAGTTTTCCATCATCTGTCTGTATGAATAGAAATTATAAATTATAAATCTACAACTCGGGCAATTTTTTAAACAAATTTTCGGTAAAAGTTTATTAAAATTTTTAATCTAAAAGTTCAATGGTTAACCAATTAACCATGTTTAACTGAGAACTCCACTAAATAAATATATTTCCAGAAATTATTTCTCAACAATACTGTTCCCCATGAGTTAGTGTAGTAAATGGTCATATAATGTGTAAAATGCTAACCGACTTATGAAGAAGAAAGTAATATCTGCAATCAAACTTTTGTAAAGCTAATAAGAACATTATGGGACATAACTCCAGTAAATCTGCTCAGAAAAAGGTCACATTATGATAATCTTTATATTGTAAACATGAGAGCATTAACAAGGCAGTTTTCTTTGTAAATCATTCACAAATTTTCAAAACACATCAAGAAATGAAGGTGCGAGAGAGTTCAAAAGTTGGACAGACGTCCAACATTTCTATGTCCCCTTCTCCACCTAGCCAAGGGACAAAAATGTGTTTCAATTATGTTGAACTTTCTTTAGTTGCATGTAAAATTTCATAACAGTATGAGAGATCATCCATTTACATACCTCTTACATTGATACATATACTCTTTGACCTTACCTTATCCAAAGATTTAATGAAGTCTTCTGGAAGACCATCTGAAATATATACAGAAATGTAACTGATTTCATAGCTGCTTATATTTGGTGATAAAATTGAAGATTTAAGTTCTAATTAAAGTACATACAAAACTTCCAATGGATTTCGTTACTTATTTAAATGTGATGAGTCATCATAAACAGAAATAGAAACGTAAGTGGCTAAAATACAGGGCATTCTAACTTCAGTCATTCATTACAAAATATTTTTCAGCATCAGTTTACAACTGTATTAATAGTATCACTAATATTCTTTACAGTTCCATTGAGCTGTGAACTATGTGTTCTTTATTAGATACATATGAATGTGTTCTTAATCAATTAAAGATAAATATGTTCTTTATCATAATAGTCTGGTATGATTCTTATCAGTAACAAATGGAAGTATCCTCTACCAGAAACAGATGGCTGCCTTCCCAAGCAGAAACTGTTGGGTGTGTTCTTAATCATAGACAGCTCAAAGTGTTCTTTCAGATGAGTGTGTTCAGCACTTAGATGGATGTGTTCTGCACACAAATGGGCTTGTTTTACATACAAATGGATGTGTATACATCAATTATAAATGAGAGCATCTACACCTAAAGTACCTCTAAACAAATTTTGTTTTCTAAGCACAATATGGACATTCAGAAATTCATAAGGTTTACAATGAAAGTGACATATATAGATGTTTTAAACAGGCACTAAGTTTTTGAGATTGCTTTACTATATGTATATTTGTGTATTTGGATAATAGGTATTAACTAACCTAAATCTTTTTCTGTGAACTCCAGTACTGTGTTTTCTTCGTTCAGGTTTTTACTGAAGTCAATACTTAAATCACTCATTCTCTTCTTTATTTCTTTAATTTTATCTTGTTTCTCCTTTGGCAGATGTAACCCTTCAATCATAAAATGATTATTTATTATTTTTCAATAAAGACATGGAGAAGCTACTAACACCAGTTATTCCCCTCCCCTGTTATTCTACTTTCACTCCCCTGTTATTGTATTTCCCCTCCCCTGTTATTCTACTTCCCCTTCCCTGTTATTCTACTTTCACTCCCCTGTTATTGTATTTCCCCTCCCCTGTTATTCTACTTCCCCTTCCCTGTTATTCTACTTCCCCTCCCCTGTTATTCTACTTCCCTCCCCTGTTATTCTACTTCCCCTTCCCTGTTATTCTACTTCCCCTCCCCTGTTATTCTACTTCCCCTCCCCTGTAACTATAAGTTGATTATATTGATAGGGTCAATAATTAAAGAAATTAGAGCGCCATCTATAAATCCAAAAAAACTACATGTAAACGTTGTAGAATTGATATTTTCTTTCACTTTTTGCTATTTGGTTGCATCAATACAGTTGTTGCATACCCTTGTCTGCAGATCTTCATTAATTCAAAACTACAACAAATCAAGAAATTTATCTAAATATGCAAGTTTAATCAAAGAAACTATGTAAAATTAAGATAATTTTTAGATCATTAATTAAAAGTTCTCAATAATATACAGAATTAAAGCAATACGAAATCTAGCACTTAGTAATAGAAGGTATACCATTTCTTTTGCCAAATTTAAGCATTCTCTCTAAATATCTTTTGGCCTCTGGCTTTAGTTGACCTGACAATTTTTTCTCTGTGGCAACCAATGTGTCAAATACGTCCTGTCTCATGCTGCAAACAAACAAATAACATGTCAGGATACAATTTATACAGATGTAATTCTCACAATTTGTACTGAATACAACAATCATTTTGTAGAATATTTTGATTTTTTTAGCAGCAAGTCCAGCCTAATGGATCACTGGATTTTTCTTCTTCTTGACTTCTCCCACATTGCACTAAAACTACCACTTATTAGACTTCTGTTGACTGTATACATGTATGCTGTCATGGATGGTCAGGATAGATTGTTAAATTTTATTCATCTTATTTCACTGTTAAGGGGCGTACCATGCTCTCTGTGGAAAAATGTTTGCACAACTCATGGAAATGAATGTAAATGAATTGTTGCAGGAAAAAGTCTCCTCCCATCTAATAACCTATTTGTCAAGAGACCTCTGAATAATGTTCATCCTTCAAGTTGGTTGATCCATTTCCAAACTTGTCTAATTGATTTAATATTGGAATTGTCTCCACCTCAAATAGTAAGAACTATTTTAGCCAGACAGATACTCCTCATTTTTCATCCACATACCAAATACTATTGACATCCTAAACGAAAACTTTCTCTGACCATAGGAGCATGAAGTCAATACCATGGCCATATGTTATTCTTTACAGAACATAAACTGTTCAGGACTGAGCAAAATAGCAAATTTTGTTGAGATGTTATCTAAAGTTACTGAGTAATAGGCCTCATCCTGACAACTTATCCTGACCACCAGTACATGAAAATGTTTCTGTTGTAAAATCTTGTATAAACACTTTGTAAATTTCATTATGTAATATTAATTTTGGTCTGTAACAATACTTGTAGTTTTAAATTTAAATTTTTGTCAAGGTGTTATATATTCAATAATTATCATTATATGATATGAATCATTTATTTGAAGATGGTTTAATTTAATATAATGAATACACTCAGGGTTCTCGTTATACGCATCCTGGACGCATGAAAATCGAGCTGGAAGCATCATTTTTTAAACCTTTGAGTCCCTGGGATGCGTCCTCGTTGTACCCCCTGAGTCCCAAACACATCGCTTTGCCTAGAAGATTCATGATCGTCGACATTGTTTTGACAGGAAACTGAACCGGAAGTCAGTGTTGAAAAATTTATGTAATGCGTAGATCAATATTTTTGTTGACTGATAACTATTTTTTAAAATTAAACGTATTTCATCCTAAAATATAATAATTCTGTTCAAACTGATTAATAAATATGTAATAGTTACTGATTTTTTTTAAATTTTACGACTATTTGAAAAGCTTGAATATTTCCACGTGTTGAACATCACTTACTTATTGATTGAAACAAAGAAAGTAAAATTTTTTGAGAACTTGAAATGAAATGATATAATATTTCATAACTGTTGCTACTATGCATAAAATAGATCGTAGAACAGTGAAGATTTAAAATTTCACGGATAAGAATAATTTTACTGGTCTTCAAATGATTTTACATTTTTCTCGTATTGTGCATGTTGAACATCGCGATCGTAAACAATGGTGAAAAATGTTTTGAAACTGAAACAAATCCGATTAAAAAATGATTAAAGAATTATTACTATTTAGCCAAGCTCATTATTATGAACATTGTTCACTTTAGATTTGCTTTTTTTTATTAAAGATTATAATAATTATCATGATGCAAACATGAGATCATAACTTTTATTAATAATATAAAAACTACCAATCCAACACACATCGTTTTAGTTTTATTTCATCACATTTCATCATATTAAGACACAAAAAATTACATGCATCCTGGACTCATCAAAATCTTTTGGGACTAACCATTTCTAAAAATGTGATGAGTACCAGTACTCACCATGAAAAATTCCTAGTGAGAACCCTGACACTGAATAAGCAGCATGTATGAAAAACATCTTCTTTTTCTAATTAAAAGACAGCCATGTAGCATACCATGTCTCAACTAGAGTTGCTTCCCTTTGAACAGAAACTAACCTCATTTCTACATCAAATTCTGATAGTTCTTTATCAGCCTCTACACTGGCATCTCTCAGTTCCTTATCAGATGATACATGTTGTAAGAAATCTACATTGTTTCTGTTTACTGCATACACACAATCATTGTCTGCTAAAGCCTGGGAAATCAATCAAGCAAAATATCATATATTCACCTTGTTCATTTCTATGAATAAAAGAAGAGGTGGAGTAGACATGTATGTTGATGAGAACCTTCTACCCAATGACACAAAAAGAACAAAATACATCTTGAGGTCAAATTAGAGTCTTTAGCAATAATTAGTATTTTTCCAACATTGTAGGGCATCATAGTTCTGCTAAAAATTTGATATCATCAGGGGAAAAAGTTCAGTGACATATTGTAATAGGGATTTTTGAATGAATTAAATAAGGTTAAATACAAACATCTTGAGCCACGTGCACGTCTTCCAAAATTCCAAACTAAGTTTAGATCTATTAATATTCAACTTGTCAGTGATCTTTTATCATCCAATCAAACTTTTCTCTTTTGATATTTGTGACTTTGGACTATAATAAATATTGTCCACTAAATTGTGAAATATGACCCCTCAAGGTTGATAAAAAATTGCATAAAAGGCCATCAAAACATGACCTATTATAGAATTTCTTCATATCTAACACTTGGAATTAAACAAATCTAATGGAGGAGAGTGGAAGATATGATTTTAATCAGATTAAATTAATATCAACTCATGAATAAAGAATCCTGACTTTTGAATCCGCCAATAATTTGTTTCAATAGTGTTGTAGAATGTATTCACATGATCTAAAGATATAATAGAACAATTCATTTCAATTTGAATAGTTTTTAGAAATTTAAAAACGTTTCAAATGAGAGATATTAGTATAATAACTTAATATTGTTGTTAACTAACCTTGATCACATTATCATAATTAATTTGATCTGGAGATAGTTTTCCCACAGATTCATATGCATGTAATGAGGACTTCTTCAGTTCTTCTACAGTTTTAGTTATCATGGCCTGATCAACTTTCCATGTCAATTTGTTTCCTGGTGTAACTGCCATTGTGTCACGTAACTACATGTACAAAAATAATAAAACTTGTTAATTTTCTAAGAAACCCAATATGCTTTAATCACTCAAATTTCTACATTTATCCAGCTACATGTTTTGTATTAGAAATCCAAATTCAATGGGCTCTTGAGTTTTAATACAAATGTACATGTGTAACTGATCAAGGTTTTAATGAATGTGTAGCTGGTATATAATAAATATTTTTTAAAACCAGATTTAATGGTAAAATTTATGTTTAAAATCTGGTTTGGATGAGTGTATTTGTTAATCTTTTCATTTGTTGATAATGCTACCACCTCCAAATTCTAAACAAAAATATAAAAGGATTTCATTACTTTCAATACAAAAAAATCAAAATTCTCTGAAAATATGGTAATATTTGTTTAAATATATTTGTTATAAGCTGTCATGTACCAGTTGCCAGATCTCTAAACCAGTCATATCTGTTTTGTTTTTCTTCAATCTATTAATTAGGACAGAATTTCATCTGAGTCATACAATATTTCATGTTTTAAGTAAGAATAAGAATATTTTATTTTCCAATTAAAGGGCCCTATAAAGAGCTTTTAACACATTACATACAAATACATAAGATTCAACATCAATTGAGAAACATAAAAGAAAATAAATGGGGAATGTGTTCATGGGACACAGCTGATGCCCCCGCTTGCATATCATATAAAGGTTATAAAGGGACAATCGGACAAGCGGTAATGTCGAGCCCTGGATCATCATTAAAGTTATGTGAATACATTTATTTAGTATATGATATCATGTTCTAGATGATTTATATTTTCAAGTCCATTTTTTAGACATGTTATTGGAGGTGTAAGACTCTGGCAAGGGAAAAAGTGTCTTTCTTAAAGGCTACTTCAGATCAGGAATTCTGAATTCAAGGTCCTGTGTCAATTACCCACACACTAGCCAGTCAACACTGAGGTTGTGAGTTCGAACCCCTCTCATGCGGGTGCACTCGACTCCAATCTTAATTGACTAGGATTGCCAGTTTTCCTATCGAAGGTCGGTGGTTTTCTCCAGGCACTCCGGCTTCCTCCACCAATAAAAACTGGCCGCCACGAAATAGCCTAAAAGCAGTGCTTAAAAGTGGCGTTAAAACACCAAAAATCAAATCAAATCAATTACCCACACCTTTATGACATAATTTACCAGATAGAAGATGCGCCTGTATCCCTGCACTATAGTTTATAAACTGTTTGAAGTATCTTCAGGATTGCCATTCTGCAGGGTAGTCTAGAAATAATTTATGTTCTGTAATCTAAATTCCTGTACTACTGAAGGGAGGGTGACCAACTTATAAGATGCAGTATAGCATCAAACTTTTTCACCCATTCACTCAACATGTGTTGAAGTGAAAATGCCATCATTATTGTCACATAGTGATGGAAGTCACATGACAGATATACCATAACTAAATACCGTACTCAGAAATGGTTATTTGGTATTGTGACATTACAATAAAATCCATGCAAAAGAACTCGTATGTATTAAATTCTGGGTCTCAATTTAAAAGTTAATGATAACAATTTAAATAATTTTCACAGGGTATGCCTTAGTTTAAAATTTTATATTCAATAACATTTAGTACTGAAAGGTAAAAAATAATGTGTTTTCAACATCCTGCCTGCTGTGCTGTTATAAGCACTACCAAGTGATCACCTGAAAGTTTAGACTGTAATGAGATGTTACAGAAAAGGAAAGATGTTGAAATTCAAAGATCTTGCTTGGTTTAATTCGATCAATCAAATTTCCAGACAGTAATGCGGGTGTTCTTTGCAAAACTTTTAACCCACTCAAAAGAGTTTTCATGTGCACCTCTTCTGTTACTGAATCTTTATTATTACGTAGCAGGGAACCAGTTCCGTATATAAGTCTAAATACCAACGAGTATATTTCAGATCAACGGACTAATATTCAGTTCATTATTACCTTCAATATTTTTTGGCTTTCCATAAATAAATGCACATTAACTAACAAATTAATTTCTGGAAATAAATTAAGTGAGTCGCGTCAGGAACAAGAATAAATATTTGACTCATTTCCAAAGACCATCATTTTCAAATCGATATATGATCTTTTACCAAATTAATGTCCCAGGCGAGCATTAATAGACATATAACACAAAATCAACATAAATAGAAAAATAACAATAACAAATACATATACAACATTGTATTTACATATCATTTGTATGAATAGATGACTGATTGATTGATTGATTGAGAAAATAAGTACTTGACGATTACGCAACCTGATTTCGGACAGGATATATTTAAAAAAATTACTTAAAATGGCATTTTTTTTTGTATTTTACTCATCGATTATTTTGGCGCACAATATTGTTTATTAATTCTCTGATGACAATTTAAGTTTCTGTAAAGTTATACAAACCAATTAATAATGAAATTGTTGAAGATTCCTCGATGCGCTCCAACAAATTTTTAAAAATTTTTTTTTTCGTACTATTCGATATTTGGTCCAAAATGTATGGTATCTCTTGGAAGAAGAAGAAATAGAATAGGCATTTAGGGTAATATGTTTGGTCTTTAACGGTGCTTAGCAAAAAAGTTTTGGACTTGAACAGTGCTTAACCAAAAAAGGTTATAAAATTTGTTTGGGTAGGTATGGAGGCCGGTTTTATCCTTTATTGAAGAAGTTGTTGTTTCAACATATTGGAGTGGAACTTTATATAGGCCAACTCGCGTTTTTTTTTTGTTTTTTTTTTACGATTATGAATTCAGACGAAATTAATAATCAGGTCAATCTCAAAGAATAAACAAACTGTAAATAGTGTGTTCTTTATTTTGTATATATAGTTACAATTCTAGTTGTGATATTAGGTTATTGTCTCACGAATGTTTTAAAAAACCTCCATTCTTCTTTCATAATCTGTAAAACAAGCATATTTTTTTTGGTTCCTTAAATAAAATGATCGTCCTGAATATGCATGAAATATTTGCCACTGGACGTTAAGCAACCAACAATCAATAAATAAAATGAAACCATATTCGCCTTGACCACTGATCAAAATTTGAAGCAAGAAATATCGCCAACTTCTCCATATATATCAGTGACTGCAAAATAAATACAATGTAGATTCAATTTATATATTTGTTTATTAATCTATATCTTTCTAAAATTTTATTTGTTTGTTAATTTGTTTGCTTATAGTTGTGTGTTTATTTATTTTTCAAAAGTAAATTAAATGTAAGTATAAAGAAATAATATTTCTAATTTAACAGACTTGATAATCTAGAGAAAACTTCGTGTGTGTTTTGTATCGTTTGGTCAATCAGCTTCATCAAAGTTGTCATAAAACAAACAAGACACAACCTTTTATTGGTTCATCAATGAACCTAGATCGACGTGAGACCACACACGTTAATCTGATAGAAACAGCCGTGTCGCTACACATTACTTTAATTGTTTTCTAATAAAATAAGACGTCTGCTGTGTGGTTTAGTATGTTAAGAAATGTGACAGATATAGTTTAACATATTTTCAAATATTCTTGTTTAAATAATCATATCAATAGTTCACATTATTATAATTTTACAGTTGATGGTATAAAAGAATTTCTTGTTTTTAATTTGTGATTCCAACTTTTAAGATATTTATTTATATTGGAGAATGTGTACGGTATACAGCTCAACCACCCAAGATCATACTTTAAATAAATAACAATAATAGATTACATCCTTGCAGTCAGACATTAGGCAAACTATTTAAAACAATCAATTAATGATAACACAGCATTATGTTGACCTATAGTATCTGGAGTATCTAAACACTTTACTCATCAACTGCATTATGAAAGCAATGATATTCACAGACATATATCATATACATGTATATCAAATTAGCAGTTCTTATGGCAAGCCGTTTTATTATTTATTCTAACTTCAAGATGTCTCATATAATATATAAGATATCTTACATAATTTATAAAATATCTCATATAATTTTCTTGATAAGATATTTAATAAAGTATATAAGATATCTCATAAAGTATATAAGATATCTTATAAATATTTTTTATATAAGATATCTCATAAATTTCATAAGATATCTTATATAGTTTATAAGATATCTCATATAGTTTATAAGATATCTCATATAGTTTATAAGATATCTCATATAATTTATAAGATATCTTATAAAGAAGATTATATGAGATATCTTATAAATTATATGAGAATATAAATCAAATAGTGATCTATCCCAGCGACTCATCCCTTCCACTCATTACATAATAAGTGCCCCCACACACACCCCAAGATCGTTGGGCTGAGTTGGATGTTGTCTAGATCTACCTAGCTAGCTCTTCCTAGCAAGATAGCAGACGTTGAAGAACTGAAGACTAAAAATATATCTAAAAGGGAATATAAGAAGAACAAAACACTACTCTCAGACGATAAAAGCAATTATACATGTATGCTAACATATTTTAAGCAATGTTTAATTTCTATGAATGATTTTAAAGGAGATGTGAAGTATACATAATTAATTTAGACAGCAACCCAATTAAGCAACAAACAAAACGTGACAATTTACTTCTAAAGTTCAATCTACGGTCTTCTTCAAAGGACATGTCATTACAACATTTTAAAGTTTTTTTTATCCTCCCAAGTCTAACTATAATATATAGATTTTTTTTTTCTTTTGTTCCTGTGAAAAAAGTTCCAGTGGAACAAATATCACAGGAAATATATTCTAGGAGAACTTTTTTCACAGATAATTTCTATATGATTTGTTCCATCTCTATGAAATAAGTTCCACAATTTACCTGGTGAAATAAGTTCTGGGTTTGTGAAATTTGTTCCTTACCTAGTGAAATAAGTTCCGGGTTTGTGAGCTTTGTTCCTTACCTGGTGAAATAAGTTCCTTGTCTGTGAAATATGTTCCACTGGTTATACAAGTTATCTTTAATACTGAGCATTGTTATCAGTGAGTTTAAAGTTATAATTCAAGTACATTATAAAAACATGTATTATATTGATAATGTAATAAATAAAAGGTGTAAACATCCAATATGGATTCTGTGGAGTATAGCAAAATTTTTAATTACATTATCCATAAAAAAAATACCCAAATGACAATAATTTAATGAGGCAGAAAAGCGACGAATAAGAAAAATCCATCAGAAAATTTGTATAGATCAATCATTCATTTATGAATATTGCAATTCAACATATGTTACTTCATATCAGAATTTGTAGAAAAATGAAATAGTGTGTTTTAAATATTTATCACAGTTGTTAATCATAGTTGTGCATTTGGTTTTTTTTCATATTATCTACGTACAATATATATGCTGACTTTATTTGAATTTCTAAAAGATTTACCTTATTTTGAATGTTTTCGAGTTGTTTAAAGACTTCAACTTAAATTTGTCAGGTACAACTATAGAATGTTTTGCTTGATATAAAGTTAATGCATCATGTTAATCTATAACACCCGGAACTTATTTAACATTTAGTAAAAAAAAATAGTTCCGGAACAAATTATACAGTGCTGGAACATATTTCCTTATAATATATATTCCGGGTATAAATTTTCTGTGATATAAATTCCGGTGGAACATATTTCCTATGCCGGAACATTTTTTTTTGCTACAAAAAATAATTCAGATATTACTTGAAGCTATGAGCAGGGTCAGGAACAAACTTCTAATGTTTGTTTTGAGGTTTATTGACTATTTATACTAGACATGCTATATGAGAGAAAGAGAAATAAAAGAAAATTATAAATTTAAAAAACGAAAATACCGTTGGCATTTTAGAAGATAATTCTTAATTGTATGTTTTCTACAAGAATTGTAAAACAAGTATAAACATACATATACTATGATCATAAAACAAAAAGACATTTATATGTCAACATACGAACGGTCTCCCACAAAAGATTATGTCAATCCAGTATGTCAAGCTTTTAAGGGTAAGTATGATAAGGGCCTTATTCGTCATCCAACATTAAATGGTATAGTAAATAAATATGAAGATATGTACAAGTATTAAAAACAATAACAAAGATACATTATCAAGCTGTAGCTTAACAAAGTTTTTGGTCAAATTTGTGGATTCTCTTATGTTGATGGCCTCATAGTGAACTTAGAATAGCTTTGCAGAACTTATCACCTTCTTTATAACCAACGACGTCCATTATAATTTGAAAAAGAATGGCGGCGAAACTACTATGTTTTGAATTTCAGGCGCTTACAATAGGTCTTATATAACAAATTACCCGTCTCACGACTCTGAGTATTTTTCATAAAAAAATATAATCAAGAAGTCCAATTAAACCAAATAACCTGAAAAAAGAAATATTTAATTGTAAGGATACTCATTATTCAAATACAGAAAAAGAGGCGTGGGGCATTCCACATTGCAGTCCAACTACAATGAATAGACAAAATCTTCATCGACAACAAAAATAACCATACATATATGAGAAGCTTTACATTTTAAGGATCATTTTTGAAAAGATGTGAGATACCGTTGGAAATATATTAATTGTGTTCTTATATGTTTAAATTTTACTACGTTTCACTCTCTACACTTTTCGATGCCTATTATGAACGAAAAACTTACAGTTGGAAGCGGCCATACTTTTCTAAAACAAATAAATAAGCAAACAACCAAAGAAAAAGTCAACGAACAACTCCGATATCTGTTTGAAAAAAAATAATCGATGAAAAGACATTACCACTCCATTTCCAGTGTTAATACTTTCCCCAAATGAAATTGGTAAATCTAAAAAATTGTATAAACCTTTTATAATTTTTGTAATCCACTACAATTTACATACAATTCTGAACGAATTAAACTACAAAGAGAAAACATTTTCCACTTTCATTAGCTATATATGAGACGGCTAGCTTTTTAGAAAAGCTATTACTTGTTGTCCTTATTAAATCACTGCAAAGCTTGAAAGGACGATATACAGCTTGACATTGTACAGACACATGTTTATGTTGGTTGGTTGTTGTTTCATTGACGAATACGGTACCCCACATCTGCATTTATTCATAATGAAATATGCCGATTTCAAGATACTGTTATTCTTCTGTAAATTGTCATGATCTTTTATTGTTTATCTGTTCCAAGACAAGCAGAGACATAATTCACGCTGTTTTTGTGTAGTTATTGTGTTGCTCAATCTTTTACTATGTAGTTTTTTCCTAGATTCTTGCTTGAAATTCTTTTTTTTTTTTATTTTTCGAATAAATTCAAACTTCCTTAACAGACACTACTCGTTCTCTGAACCAAACGTTATTAACTGACATCCTTTATAGTCAGTGTTACATATTGTCTGAATCTTGGTATATCTGTTGTCTTGCCTTCGCTATCTAGAGTCAATCTTAAGCAACTTTATTCTGCTTCAATTGCTAATGTGTAAAACAGTTGACTTCTTGCTTTACAGTTCATTTAGTTATTTTCGGAGTCGACATATTGTGTTTCTTAAAGAAAAATAATAATGACCATGCAAAAATGCTTCTACTATAATTTTAACTTTATTTATTTCATTAATCACGTTACATAGTACAATGATTACCAACTTATTATCTAAGTCAAAATTTAATTTTTAGAAACTCTTAAATTATGACTCCTTGAAGGGTTATGCCTTACGCAATTACTGTTCAACGTTCATCGTATTAATTACCCGGACCATATGAGTATATACGCATATGGTCATGACCATACGCGTATGTTCCAGAACATACATATATATGTCTCTGCTTTAATATAGTCAGATGAAATAGACAGATTTCAGTTAATTACTCAATCAAATACACATTCATTTACCGAAAGGTAGACTTAAATTCCCACGGACTACTCATTGTATCCCATTCTGAAATTATATGATATGCGGGATAAGTGATCCATATTTGTACTAAATACTTTTGTTTTGCTCTCCACATTTTTGAGACAAGTGATCCATATATCTTCTGAATGATTTTCTACCACTCTCCACAGTTCTGAGACAAATGAGCCATATATCTGCTGAATACTTTATCTACTGCTCTCCACAGTTCTGACACATGTGATCCATATATCTGCTGAATACTTAATCTACGATCCCCACAGTTCTGAGACAAGTTATCCATATCTTCTGATCGCTTTGACTACTGCTCTCCATAGTTCTCAAACAAGTGATCAAAATTTCAACTGACCACTTTATCTACTGCTCTCCACAGTTCTGCCACATGTGATCCATATACTAGTATCTTCTGATCACTTTGACTACTGCTCTCCATGGTTCTCAAACAAGTGATCAAAATGTCTACTGATCACTTTATCTACTGCTCTACATTGATCCGAGACATGTGATCCATATATCTACTGAAAACTAAATCTAACACACTCTTTAATTCTAAGATAAGTGATCCAGTTTTCTACCAAACACTTTATCTACCACTCTCCATTGTTCTTAGATAAGTGATCCAGATTAAGAAGTCTGATTCACCTTACATTTTTCACTTCATTACCAGATATATATGACTTGTAAAGTAGGATACCAGACATATATGGTTTGTAAAGTAAGATACCAGACATATATGGTTTGTAAAGTAGGATACCAGACATATATGACTTGTAAAGTAGGATACCAGACATATATGGTTTGTAAAGTAGGATACCAGACATATATGGTTCGTAAAGTAGGATACCAGACATATATGACTTGTAAAGTAGGATACCAGACATATATGACTTGTAAAGTAGGATACCAGACAGATATGACTTGTAAAGTAGGATACCAGACAGATATGACTTGTAAAGTAGGATACCAGACAAATATGACTTGTAAAGGAGGATACCAGATATATATGACTTGTAAAGTAGGATACCAGACAGATATGACTTGTAAAGTAGGATACCAGACATATATGACTAGTAAAGTAGGATACCAGACATATATGGTTTGTAAAGTAGGATACCAGACATATATGACTTGTAAAGAAGGATACCAGACATATATGACTTGTAAAGTAGGATACCAAATTCAGTCATCAAACTATTTATTATTACAATAACTTTACATCATTTCTGCCACAATTACTATTTTGCATGACACAGGAATCCTTAAATGTTTATCTTTTATTTATAAATAAATGGAATTGTTCTGAAGGAGTACAACATATCACATACAGAGAGATTTTAGTCACATGTAAAACATCCCAAGTTAAGCTTTTGAAGGTCTCCAGTAGACTATTGAAAAATAAGCTGCTATAGGACTAAAATCTGATTACCTAACTTCAGATGCGGCTTTGAATAATTTTTTGGTGTGAACTGTTATGTACATTGTGCAATTAGAATGAAATAAATGGGGAATGTGTCCAGGGGAAACACAGATGATGCCCCCACTTGCATTTTATGTTATAAAGGGACATCACTCAAGATCAGTACAAGTGACGCTACCCAAATTTGTACTTGATCTGAGTTTTATAGTAATTAGCATTGTGTTTAAGTTTCATAACATTTGGTTGAGGCAAACTGAAGTTTGAGAACGGAAACGAAAAATTCAGCAAATTTTCCATTAGTAAAGGGGCATAACTCTAGAACGGTAAAAGTGATGCCACCAATATTCAAACTTGATCTGTTTTTTTTGTTGTAATAAGCATTGTGTATAAGTTTCATAACATTTGGTTGAGGCAAACTAAAGTTAGAGAACGGAAACCAATTTTGGGACGTACGGAAGGACGGACGTACAGACGGACAAGGGTAAAACTTATTGCCCCCTACGGCGGGGGCATAACAAAAAATATGTATCTGTTCCTGCAAAGTTTAAAAGACTTACTCTGTTCAGGGATTACTAATGTACTGTATCAGAATTTAAAGTATGAACTGCTAGGGGCTAGCTGTCTTAAACTTGCAGTGAGGTGAGAGTTTTATTGCTCTGTGTTGAAGGCCTCACTGTGACTTTCAGACGAAGAACAGCAATAAAAGCGCTGTTCCTTTGTTTTTTGTGTGTTTTTTGCTGTGCATAACTAATTTTGTGTCATGGATGGATATCCCATATCCCTTGTTTTTCAATTTTATATGAAAAATTTTCACAATAATATAGCATTCCTACTGCAGTAGAATATTACTAGTTTTTTGCTTGTTTTTTTTTAAGTACTTGTACGGCCAATAAAATGTATATAGTAAGAAAAGTTAATATATAATATATTCCACTAAGACTTTAGATGTCTATTACAGTTCACTTGTATTGTTGGTCTGTTGTCTCAATGTTTTACACTTTTTCCTCTACAATATTTTCAAAAACAAATTGTCTTGTTACACTGAGACAATGTTCAGGCCTTGTGGTCATAAAAGAATTGAGTACCGATTTTGATACTCAGACTCAGAAATCAACCAATCTAATTACCTGATTTGGCGTTTCGAGCACAAGTTTTGTACTTCTGAGTACTGAGTTAAGTTTTAGGACCCGAAGCCCTGATATATCAAGCATCTTTTGGCTATTTTTGTCATTGGGTTGCTGTCTCATTAATGTATACAGCACATCTCTTTTTATTTATAGGTACGTCTAGAAAGAAAATTGTGGTGTTTTAATGTTACTGCTAGACATACTTGATTACTTCATTGATATAATCTTGACTGAGGGTTAATAAGGTCACCTGTCAATATAAATGTACAATAACTTATATCTTTTCCATATTCTAAAATAATAACAAAGAGATTCAAATTTATTTAACTTTTATTTTCATCATTTCATGTGATAACGATTCAACCTTCATCAGAAGATCTGAACACAAGTACTACCACATATATATATCATAATATATATAATATTTATATAAGCCGATATCGACCTATCACAGGCAATTCACCCCTCCTGAACCTCAGCACCACACCCTATGAGGTAAAAATGATTATGATTTGGTAAGGATTTGAGTGTAATGTCTCCATATAACATGACAGAATTTGAGGCCCAGGAGGGGTTGTCATAAAAAAATAATAAACTGATACTGGCAGTGTCACCTGTTGCACCAAATATAATGTCATGATTTTACAGGTAAATGAGGTCACCAGGTGTATTTGTCTTAAATCATCTATGTATTACTGTATTGTCCAAAACTTTACTATTGATGGATAAGGCATATAAATCACATATATTTAATTTTTTTTAATAACAAGTGTAAATGTATTCTGTTTTAAGTTTTAAGAAAATTCCTGATTTTTATCATTTAAAATGGAAAAAAATGCAAGAAACTATATATCATCCAGTCATCCTATGAAAGTCTGTTTTGTAGATTTAAGTACATACATTCAATTTTTAAAATCATTCATTCATTCAAATTCTGGAAAAAAGATGGACAAATCATCCCTGATTAAAGGGATATAAGTAATATGGGTGAACACTAAAAACACAAAAAAAATATTATTATATAGTTGTAATTTTTGACACTTTCTATATATTTTGCATGTTGAACAATAAGTTAACAACCCAAATGAAGATCTTGTGGTTAAATTCATTCTGGATCAAACTCTATTTTCCTCAATTAAGTGTTAACAAATTTTACTATTTCTTATTTTTCCCCACATTAATGAATTTTCAGTATTCAAGAATAACAATCTGTGTCATTATTTGCTTAAAAGAAAAGAGAATTGTTCACATGTATTGCTAACTCCCACTAACAGCACCAAAACACAACTTGCGCACACTTACACAAAACCCATATACACTACACATCACTCATACACATCCAAACATATGATAACAATACATTTTAGTACAAATAAATATGTTTAAAGCTTTTGCACCATGGTAAATCAAATTTATTGTAGCACTAAACATAAGAATGATACTGACCAATATCATAGCACTTAATTTATATGTAAAAGTTATCTAATGCAATAAAATTGATCTAAATTCACACTGTGCTTTGAACATGAATAGTAAATTGTTGATCTGATTCAAATATTCAACCAACTTTTTTTAATAAAATTGATCAATGCGATACAAATACTTTTGTACTGCCCCCTCTCCCCAAAAAAAGTGTCAATAAATTAAATTTTCCATCATCATTTGAAATATTTGTGTAAAAACTTTGTTAATACCATAAGGCTTTTTCTGCTATAATTATCTGAAATTTCCCTAATTAAAGCTTTTAAGAGTTCTAATAATTTCATTTTTAGAAATTGAAAGTATAAAGTGTGCATTTCAAAATATTTTGAGTTAGTAAGTAAAGGATTTACAGAAGGATTTCATATTTCTACCCTGATGGGGACTAACAACAGCGCCTGAGTTACAATTATTTCATCTTTGGCTTTCTAACAACATGAAAAAAAACCCAATGCCATGTGGAAATTATGTCATTAATTTTATATTTCTTTTCTATCAATTATTTTACTGTTATTTTGAGTTAGCTTTTAAAATCATTGACCTGGAATGTTTTTTTATGAAAAATAAAAAAAAAATTTAAATTCTAAATACAATCCATTTTATAAGTTTTGCCTTCAATGCTTTAACGAATTTCTGTTCACCAACTCATTAAAATACAATTACTATATTTGAATAGAAGATTCCATGCCCTTTAATTCTTAAATTGAATAAGCTTCTATAGCCTTAGTCCTAAAGTTGAATAAAAGTTCATTGCCTTTAATCCTAAAGATGAATAAGCTTCCATAGCCTTTAATAAAAAAAATTGAATTAGCTTTCATAGCCTTTAATCCAAAAATTGAATAAGCTTTCATAGCCTTAAATCCATAAGCTCAAAATAAACAAAGATTGAATATACATTTGATGTTTTAAATAATGTAAAATATATGACAAATTTTCGCATGGCATTAAATGAATGAGCTTTGGACAAAGTTGGAAACTTTTTACCATCATCTACAACAACAGTATATGATATGTACAATGAAAGAACATCAGGCTTTCATGGAAAGTGACTAACCCATCTACTGACAGATAGATTTTTTCCAAAATTCTAGAAATAATATTATGTACCCTGAGCTCATCTACACATGTCTATGTCAGCTTGAGGTATGGAAATAATGCTGAATAATTTCTAATACTAACACTGTTGAATTTCTTCTCCATTCAAATGATATACAATGAATAACAATAAAATGTTACGAGATTTAATCTCAATAATGTAAATGATGGTAAACATTCAACAATCAACAGATATTCAACAATTATTTTACATCACTAACATATTTACAAATTATAATAATTAGCTAATTACAATATCTTACAAAACAAGAAATCTGTACATCAGTAACATAAAAACAATGCTTAACATTTAAATAAACAAGAGTAACTTCCCCTTGTTCAATACAAATAAATACTAAATCACAACTCGGCCCTGAAGAGGATGAAGAATAAATCCCGTGAGAGAATACCCGTAGTCAGCCGTCCCATCTTCTGATTGATACAAACATTGTTCCTGAGTGATAACTGGCCTTTAGCCGCCATTTACAAATGTTTTTGTGTCATGGATGATCAAACACTCACACACAGGCAGCCATACGCACAACCATAAAATACTGTATAAATAATAAATAGCACCATCACATTTCTAGAAGAATTTAAGTCTGAAATGAAAAGAAAAGATTTACTTTAAAGTTAGTTTTAAAATATGTATATTTACAATCATTCATAACTACAGTGCTGAATACAGGATGTTTAAAATGTAAATACTTTATTTCTTTAAATTTTTTTAGTACAATGTGTGCTTTTCTTTGTTTAAAAGATTAAATAAATAATTAAAAAGTCAAAACAAAATTCTGCATATCTGCAGTTTAAGCTAATATAGAATGATCTGACTAAAATAGCTTAATCGGGCTATACAAAATTATCTCCCTTGGCATTTTAAAAATAAATGAAGAATGACACAGATGCCCTGCTAGTAAATATGCAAATTCTACAATTTTTCAATTTACAAAGGGACATAACTCAAGACTTGGGAAAGTGACACCACCCAAATTCGAATTTGATTTGTGTTTGGTGGTATTAAGCATTGTGTATAAGTTTCATAACATTTGGTTGAGGCAAACTATAGTTAGATTGCGGAAATGGTAAAATTTAGCAATTTTTCCATTTTTAAAGGGGCATAGCTCGAGAACGGTGCAAATTCAAACTTGATCTGTGTTTGGTGGTAATAAGCATTGTCTATAAGTTTCATAACATTTGGTTGAAGCAAACTAAAGTTAGAGAATAGAAACTTATTTTGGAACGAACGAACATACTGCAAGATGGACAAGAATAAAACTTAATGCCCACTCGACTGTGGCAAGGGCATAAAAAATGAAATTTCAGTGTCTCACTTATCTACTATTTTGTAGACATAATAGGAAAGAGCTTATTATATTGCAATAATTTTTGACTGTAAATTGTTAAATTCACGATAAAAGTTAAAATTTGATACCTAAATATTCAGATTTCTTTCTTCATTATGCCTGTAAAGTTTTAGATTGTATTTCCAAGTATTTTTGCAGATATTGAAATTTTATTTGACAAGTGTCAAATAGAGATAATAATCAAGCTATACAAACTCCATCTATGGAAATAACAGACCTGAAAAAGTGTATGTTTTTCTATATTATGTATTCTTTTCCATAACATTTTAACAATCAATTACATGTGTTAGCTTACCTGCTAGGAATTTGAACAAGAGTCTGAGTCTGAACTGTCCAATTCTTTCCGCCGTTTACTTTTGTAAACATGATCATGATCTACACTTTGAACTGAACCTAAAAATGCAAAAAAAATACTTAGAATTACAAAATAATGTATGTTATAAATTGTCTACCTTGTAAGAAATAGTATCATTTTGAATTGTTTTACTATGATATATAATTTCTTTCATTCAATTTGTTCTGTTATACTTAATTGGAAAGAGAATAAGCATGAAAGACAGTGAAACTATGTGACAAACACTTCTTATCTCCCTTTGATAGTAATTTTCTATTTACCTGGAATAGGAGTATGAACTTCCACTTTAACTGTTGCATGAGCTGTTACCCTGGTAACATGTGTTGATTGAGGTGTTGATGATACAGAGGCTGGTGGTGTAGTCTAAAATTAAAGAAAATTTATTAATTTTTTTTAACACAATTTTATAAATGGATGAATAAAACTGAAAAAAAAACAACAAAGGTTTATTTGATTTTGGATAGAGAAATCAACATTTTCATTGATATGGGATAAGATAAGAATGAATGAAACTTGACAAAATTGATACTGACAAATCAATCTTTTGATGCTGTAGCACATGATCAGTTCTTCGAATATTTGATTTAAAGTATAATTACATATAATTTTGAGTTATAGTGTAATTACATATAATTTTGAATTATAGTGTAATGTCATATAAAAGTTCCAAAATCATAATATAACTCTAAGATCATAGTACAGTTCTCAGACCATATCACCAGTACCACTAGGAGAATTATTACTTGTACAATTCATTGAAAACATAGAGCTACCACTGTTTGTTTTCTGTGGATAATGTGGACTGAATATCATTGGAATGACTGCTCATTCATCAAAAATAAATACCTACAATGAAACAGATCATCAAATGTGTACTTATCAGGAGCAACACAACAGGTGCCTTTAGTGGAGCAGGATCTGCTTACCCATCAAGAGAAACTGAGATCAACCCCAGTTTCTCTTCCAACTTAACAGGTTTGAATGTCCATTGGTATCTTCTGCCTCTTTTTTTACATGACCTTTTATGACCTTAAAATCCAATGTTATACTTACATGTCTACTACTGCTGTTACTGCTATGAGTCCCGCCCATTGGGACTGTTGTTGTTTCTACCACTACTTCAGGTTCTACGATTATTTCATGTGATGAATACTGTGTTGGTTCTTCTGATATTGTGGTCAGAGAAATATCAGATGGTATCCTTGGATACAGTCGCCTGCTAGGTCTACTCTTTCTGGTCTTTTTGATTGGTTTAGGTGAAGGTTCAGGAGATGGTGTAGGTATTCGATCCCCATCATCTTTTGGTCGAACCTTTAAACAACAGATTTTGTGTGATTAATGTCATTCTGACCTATACAAAAAAATCACAGTGAAATATTGAACTTTATTCCAATAGATGAAATTCATGAGCAAGAAAATTTTCTTTGAAAAGTTATTTTTTTCTTATCTATTTATTTCTCCATGTGATATTTTCCTGTTTATTCTCTTAATTTACAAATGATTTATGACATGTCTATGAAACAACATACATATCTTTTTTATTTAAAGGATCTATTTTAGATAATATTAAAAAGAAAAGATAACTAAAAAAAACAAGAAAATGCCCATAAATTAGAATATACCAAGACCTATTAAAATTATTTTTATCTCAGCTTATGTAATCATCACTTACACTATCTGCATGTAAAAAATAACCATAAAGTGTTATTAAAGTATTATTTTTTTACTGAAAAAACCTAAAATAAGGTCATGACATTTATTTGTACTTACCTCCCCTTTTGGTCCCAAAATAGACAGCAAAACAGGAAGAAGCACCAGTCCATTCAAAAGACCAATTACAACAAGACCAGCCAATACATTGAAGAAATATCTGAAAGACAAATAATATAGTATGAAACTTGATGAACTTTAACGTGTTATAGTATACAGAGTAAAGCATCTCCTGCAACAGCAGAAATGTTAACATCTACACAGAGCTAATGTTCTAACATGTTAAAGTATATAGAGTAAAGCATCTCCTGCAGAAATGTTAACATCTAGACAGAGCTAATGTTCTAACAAGTACAGCATTGCTATGCATACAACAAGGTTATTTCTGTATACCCAAAATTTTTCAAATTGTATTTGATTTTCATTATATGGTACACATATTAAGAAACAAGTTTTAAAAATAAACTAATAAATTTAGTTGAAAGCAGTTTGTTATAAAAAATAAAACTAACATTTCCAAATTCCTTCACTTGTGTACACACTGACAGTAAATACATGACCTACTGCAAGAAAACTGGATCTGATATTTTATGTTTTTTTCCATTTGATTTTATGTTTCCAATTGCTAAGCCAAGGTCACCAGTATAGAGTAACATGGCAGTGTACTAGGGGTTAATGTAGCGAGAACACATCAAATCTACATACAAATGTTTACAATAAACACTGGAGGCATATTCACTCAATGAAAGAGAAATTTATTACCAGCAACTAAATCATATGTTTGACAACCAAAACTTCTTATTAAATAGAAAATTAACCCAAATAGTGCCTCTATTCCATCAGAATTTGAAGGCAACATTTTTAAGACATTAAAAAGTGTGTTAAGAGGTAGTTTTGACATTGATAGAGACCATGAAGGTATCTAGTATAAACAGACCACACAGTTTTCTACACAGTACAATATTAAATGCCATCCAAATCGCATCATATCATGGCACATTGCCAAACGCCCTCTATCTGATTGTTGATTAAACTGAATAATTCAACTACAGATTATGAAAATACTTATGATCAGTAGACCACCCTAGTCAATGCACTACTGAATCTAAATCACTGCAAATTACATTGCATAAATATTATCTGCTTTAACATTTTTCTTAATTTGAAGACATCTAGTGGAAACCATTTAAACAATTATCTCTCTGAAAAAAGGGGGGAATGTGGTGGGATATAAAAGGCAACACTTGTTTTCTTATCTTAGTTTGACTTTTTATGAAATAAAATTCTTTACTTATATTTTCTGCACCTGTCAGAACTTTTTGCATTTAATAAACCTTATGAATCTTTATGCCTTGTTTTTATTATCATTTAGCATTATTTTTATTCATTTAGAAAACAGATAAAGAAAAAAATCTTGCAAGTGACTAAAAACTACAATTGCAGGCAGGTTTTACACTTGTTTGACATAATCGTGATTTACCTAAATAATTCAACTTTTTGTACTTTTCCTTTTTTTGTCAAAATATAGGAGTTTTCTTTTTCTGTGCAAGTTAAACCTTTTATATGGGTCAAGCCTGTCTCTGTCTGACAATGGGAGTAGTAGACTAAATGGCTTTTAATGCGACCATTGTAAAACAAGTGTTCTCCATAATTAATGTGAAGGATGAATATCCGGCGTGACCCTTCAGGGCACTGATCACCTGTGGACCAGTTGTCACAAAGTGACCACCTTGATTATATGACCTCTACAATGCAGGTGAAAATGTTGAAGAGATAAAATATTACGACTGTCATACTATGATGATCATATCTATAACATGAACATGTTAAGAGACCTGACATACATTCCACTGTCATGAAATATTAATGTAAGGCAAGAAGCAACTATGTAGAGAAAATATTTCAGTATCTCAATATATAACATCTATATTAGATCTATTCATGTATTAGAAAGTTCACAAGACAAACTGATTAATGGGAATTGCTTCAACAGTACTTAGTTTGAACATTCATACCTAAAACTTTCTAATTCTTTAAAAAAAACCAAATCAAACAAAAATCCTGTCTTCCTATATATAACAGGAGCAAACAAGAAATTTTAACCAAATAATTTCAATTATTGAATTTAGAGAAATCTACATCTGCTTAAATTATTTTTTATTTAAAGACCTGCTTATATCATAAATTTGCATGTACTGTTTAATTTTCATAAAATTAAAAGTTGATCAGCTGTACTAAACATGACCCTTAGCCAGAAACACGGTTAATAATTGTAGTCTGCAGTAATTGAGAAAACATTAATTTAATAAAAGTAAAGACCTCCAGGTATAAGCTTATGTTCAGCAGGTAGAAACAGGATAAGCCATCACATACTTTATCATCAAAACCTAACGTGCAACTTCTGCAGATGTTGAATAAACAAATTACTTTTTTGATTTGATGAAGAAACTCCCATCTGTTTAAATGCAATGTAAATTTCTGGTAATTTCATTTCCATTTTAACCTTTCCCTAACAATTTGTGTATGTGTGTGGTCCTATTCAGTCCATATCTTAACATGGTCCAGCTAAAAACATAACTTTTTTTTATATCTTCTTGATTTCCCCAATAAAAAATAAACAGTAATATTTTAGTACAAGGTAATATAAAACATTTGGTAGAAGTTTAAGTACACATAAAAAGTTCAAAGTGCTTACTTCAAAGGAAAAAATAGGTTTTTTGGACAAAATAGTTTTCTTCATTGCCTTCATTAAAAAAAATTTTTAGTATTGAATATTTATATAAATTGACCTTGTTTAAAATGTTCAGTTAAACTTAAAAATACACCTTTTCCAGAAGTTACAATAAGTGATGCCCCTTTTTTAGGCTTACCTTTTTTATTGGGGGTAACACCACCATGAGAATTGAAGATAACTTAATATAGAACTTTTGTGAGAAGAGAATACTATAGGAATCTGTTGATGAAAACAGATATATGTACATTGTACATAGTTAGAACTTAATATAGAACTTTTGTGAGAAGAGAATACTATAGGAATCTGTTGATGAAAACAGATATATGTACATTGTACATAATTAAAACTTAATATAGAACTTTTGTGAGAAGAGAATACTATAGGAATCTGTTGATGAAAACAGATATATGTACATTGTATGTAATTATACTGGATTACTATTCCTTCATTCAACATTTTGATGATTTTAATTCAATAAAAAATTAACAAGCTGAGTCATGACATATGGAGATAAGGTATTTCATATAATAGTGAAGAAAATATCAGGCTTACACTCAATTTATTATACACCATTCATGAAAGTTAACCAAATCGGGTGTTCCTATCAAATACTAGCGCCACTCAGCTTTGCGTACTGACAACAAATATTCATTCTTACTGTATTTCAATCAAATCTTAACTTTATTTAATAAAGTGACGAAAAAGTATGAAATGAAAAGATGTAACATATGGATTAGGAAATATTTGGCCGAGTTATCAGGTTAAATGGTTTAAAGTTTTATAGCTCCAGAATAAAGTGTATATGGTTGAGAAAGTTTGTAAAGAGGTTTTGGGTGGTCTGTAAGTAATTACCACTGAGCAAAATAGCCAAGGACAAGTTTGATGTTACACGCTTGGCCGATTTTGTCACAATTGTCCCTTTGTCAATCTGTACTTCCTTCACAAATGATTAGTCCAATAGAGAAAATTTTAATTAATCACATAAGCCTTCAAACATCTTAATAAAGCTTGTATGATTTCCTAATATAAGAAACTTTAATACAAGGTGCATTACTTTTTCCTTTTCTCAGAGAGAGGGTTGAAACCGAATTCAAATAATAAGACCATATGAAAGGTGTCTTTGATCCATCAAATTACCTGTGATCATTCAACAAAGAAAAAGGTAAAATTTATCCCATCATCAAAATTTTATTACACAAAAAAAAAACTTCTCAATTGAAATTTATTAGATTCCAATATAAAATGTCACAAAAAATCTGTTAATATGAACATGTAAAAATAAAAAATCTTTTCTAATATTAAGCATTAGGAGACCTCACATGCAGACACTGACAATATTTGTCACATACTATGAATATAAAGTGCAAGCTTACATATCCTACATTTATAGAAAAGACAGAAGTCCCTCTTCACCAAAATTAGTTCCCTTGTTCTAATTTTTCTGATTATCCAAGATTTCCAACAATTAAAATAAACCATGTCTTAAATTTGATAGCAGATTTACAAGTAATAAACCATTTTATTTTACAATATAAACAGCTCAAAAATACAATTCAAATATGAAAAAAGAAATATGTTTTTTTCTTCATAAGATGGAAACCCAATGAAATAAACACAAAGACGAAATCTAGAGGTCAACTTGCAACAATAAAAACACATGAACAATAAAAACACATGGACAATAAAAACACATGTTTATACAATATGTTAAGCTCTAAATGGTTTTGGGTCTAAAAATGGAATAAATTAAACAGTAACTAACCAAGATTTTGCAAATGTTTGATATTTGTCAGTAATCCTATTTAATTTATCAATAAATCATTATCATTAAAATATTACACCACTATTCCCCTTTAAAATGAAATAAAATGCTTCGCTGGGCGCAGCTTGATACGACCGCAGAGGTCGAACCCTGAACAGTTGGGGCAAGTATGGACACAACATTCAAGCTTGATACAGCTCTGAATTTGGATTGTGATTAAATATTTGACACAGCATAGGTTTCTGACACAGAAAGAATGTGGTCTAAGAACTTCAATTTTTTTAATTTACCTATTATGGTCCAATGTCCAAAATCAAAATACATGGTTAGATTCAGCATATCAAAGAACCCCATATATTCAATTTTTGTTGAAATCAAACAAAGTTTAATTTTGGACCCCAACTTGGACAAACTTGAAAACTGGTCCCATAATCAAAAATCTAAACACATGTTTAGATTCAGCATATCAAAGTACCCGAAGAATTCAATTTTTGTTAAAATCAAACTAAGTTTAATTTTGGACCCTTTGGACCTTAATGTAGACAAATTTAAAAAACGGGACCCTAAATTAAAAATCTAAAAACACAGTTAGATTTGGCATATCAAAGAACCCCAATAATTCAATTTTTGATGAAATCAAACAAAGTTTAATTTTGGACCCTTTTGACCTCAATATGAACCAATTTGATAGCGGGCCCACAAATAAAAAATCTAAATACATGGTAAGATTCAGCATATCAAAGAACCCCATATATTCAATTTTTGTTGAAATCAAACAAAGTTTAATTTTGGACCCCAATTTGGACCAACTTGAAAACTGGGCCAAAAATCTAAAATCTAAATACATGTTTAGATTCAGCATATCAAAGAACCCCATATATTCAATTTTTGTTGAAATCAAACAAAGTTTAATTTTGGACCCCAACTTGGACCAACTTGAAAACTGGGCCCATAATCAAAAATCTAAACACATGTTTAGATTCAGCATATCAAAGAACCCTAAGAATTCAATTTTTGTTAAAATCAAACTATGTTTAATTTTGGACCCTTTGGACCTTAATGTAGACAAATTTAAAAAACGGGACCCAAAATTAAAAATCTAAATACACGGTTAGATTCGGCATATCAAAGAACCCCAATAATTCAATTTTTGATGAAATCAAACAAAGTTTAATTTTGGACCCTTTGGACCTCAATGTGGACCAATTTAAAAACGGGGCCCAAAATCCAAAAACTTAATACACGGTTAGATTCAGCATATTAAAGAACCCCAAGAATTCAAGAATAAAACCCCATTGAAATTGATCAAGAAATAAGCAATTTATACGAAGTATCTTCTTTTGCACAATACTGTGCAATTGAATATTTCTTGCTATTGCGCAATACTGTACAATTGACAATTTCTTGCTATTGCGCAATATTGTGCTATTGGATATTTCTTGCTATTGCGCAATACTGTTAAATTGAAGATTTCTTGCTATTGCGCAATACTGTGCAATTGAAGATTTCTTGCTATTGTGCAATACTGTGCAATTGAAAATTTCTTGCTATTGCACAATACTTATTATATAATAATTTACACATCCTGTTTGGTGTGTATCTCCTACCATATCATTATTATTTGCTTTTAAATATAAATCAGAAATAACCAACTTAAAATGGAAAATTTTAAAAGAAAAAAAAAAGGAAAAAAAGAAAAAAAAAAAAAAAAAAAAATCCCCCTCCCCCAATTTTTTGAACCCCCTTATGATTCATCACCCCCAAACTCAATCCCAGCCTTCCCTTTGTGGTATGGTACCTTGCAGTACAATTTCAGAGAGATCCATACACTTGAACACAAGTTATTGTCTGGAAACTAGAAAAATGCTTATTTTTGGCCCCTTTTTGGCCCCCAATTCCTAAACGTTTCGGGCAATTACCCCCAAACTCAATTCCAGCTTTCCCTTTGTGATATGGAACCTTGTAGTACAATTTCAGAAATATCCAAACACTTACACACAAGTTATTGTCATGAAACTAGAAAAATGCTTGTTTTTTGCCCCTTTTTTGGCCCCTAATTCCTAAAATTTTGAGGCAATTACCCCCAAAATCAATTACAGCCTTCCCTTTGTGATATGGAACCTTGTGGTACAATGTCAGAGAGATCCATACACTTACACACAAGTTATTGTCTGAAAGTTACAAAAATGCTTATTTTTGGCCCCTTTTTGGCCCCTAATTCCTTAACTGTTGGTACCATAACCCCCAAAATCAATCCCAACCTTCCTTTTGTGGTATTGAACCTTATGGTGAAATTTCATGGAGATCCATTCACTTAAACTAAAGTTAGAGTGCGAAAACCAATGTGTCTTCGGACGACGCCGGACGACGCCGGACGACGACGACGACGACGACGACGACGACGACAACGACGACGACGACGACGACGACGCCAACGTCATACCAATATACGACCAAAAAATTTTTAATTTTTGCGGTCGTATAAAAATACTCAGAACAGATTTATGAAAAACAATATTTGGAATTTGTTGTATTACTTATAAGTTAGCTAAAACATATTTAACCTATTATTGTCACTAATGCGTTTTGATTTTGTTTGTTGATTTTTGGACAAAATAAAAAAAATAGCCCCATTTTTCTTATCTTTTTTTCATGATGGCATATGATACAATATCAAAAATAACAAATTATCATCTCATAACCACAAGTGTAATCATCCAATGGAACAGATTTTTTGAAGGATTAATTAACACTAATTAGAAATTGTATAACCTTTCTAGAAAGCAAATACAGTGAATAAATTTGATTTCTTATGTATCAGTTTCCATTTTCAATTTGTATTTCGTTGAGTATTTATTCATTATTCCACAGAAATGAGACATTTGCCTGTTTATTTAAAGACATTTATAGAACACCAAAGTCAGTGACAGTACAAGCAATGATTTCAGACCGTAAAACACAAATACAGACCTGTACCATTGATATCAGATAAAATATACTTTCCAACTATGTGATTATGTTTTAAACAGATCCAGATCATAGATATAAGAAGATGTGGTATGAGTGCCAATGAGACAACTCTCCAATTTATAAAAGTAAACCAATATAGGTCAGGGTACGGTCTTCAACACGGGGCCTTGGCTCACACCGAACAGAAAGCTATAAAGGGCCCCAAAAATTACTAGTGTAAAACCATTCAAACCAGAAAACCAACAGTCTAATCTATATAAAAAACGAGAAACGATAAACACTTATGAACCACATCAACAAACGACCATATTTTCATCAATTTTTATCATTGAAGCAGCACAAATATCTATATCAATGTAAGAATTGTAACACCACCGTTTTACATTTCATTCTGCACCATTTCATTTTTGTTTTTGTGATATTTCATTTTAAACACGAAATTTTATAAAGACCAAAAATACCACAAGGAACAAACTTTCAAATCTGCTTTAAATTCATTAAATTATTTCAGCATTTCAATCCATTTCAATCTGGCTGACCTGTTTATATATGTTTGAATGATTCATCCAAATAGTTAAAACAGGGTATTTCTTTTTCTAAAAACTAAATAAGGTAAATGAAAATGAAAACTTACTTTACAATGAATTCAAATTCTGCTCCGACAAGCATAATAATTCCCATAAAAGTAGATATAGCTCCATGTATAACTGGAGCAAGTGTGTGTTCTAACGACATTCCCATTCGCTTGTTCCGAGATCCAATTGCAGTTAAAAATCCCTGAAAAAAAAACCCCACAAAATTTATTGTATATAGTTTTGAAATTATTCTTTCAGTCTACAAAATTCAATATTTTGATACAAATACAGATATATGTATTCCTAATATTTAGATACTCTTCTTATTACGAAAATATATTTAGATATTTCTCCTTTAATTTATTAAATATTTCAAATGAAATCAAGTTTAAATATGGAAGTAAGAACTATGAAGATTTAAAATGATATTCAAAGAGTCTCAACTTACCACAGAAATATGTACTGTAAACTCAACTCCAATTCCAGCAGTAATGATTAGAATAACAGCAGGAACGGCACTGAGTTTTATATCACATAATCCCATTAATCCAAATAATTCCACAATAATCACTGTCAGGACCACAACCTGTATACAACAAACATTAAATTAGATTTGACAACAAAAACATATATTTCAAACTTTGTAAATTTTCCAAATTTTTGAGCAGACTCAATTACTTTATTTCAGAATGACAATTTCAATCTTGTCCAAAACATTTAATTCTGCCCCCACATAACAAGCCATTAACAAATAAAAAAAAATCCAATAACATCATTAATAAAGCAAAAACTCCTTCCTTAACACTCCATTTTTTTCTCAACAAATTATTTTCCTCCCAAAACTCAATGTTTGACTAAATAAAATAAATGAAATAAAGAGAATTGTACTTACAATAATACTGGCAAGCCATGGGTTCATGAGAACAACTGTGAGCACAATGAACGTAACAATGAGAATACACAGGATAGCCAGAGAGAGGTACAGTCGAAGTTTGATATACTGCTCCCAGAATGTAAATGGTATTCCATTAGGATAGTTTGGTAATCCACGGTCTGTATAAGTATCACATATTTCTCTCATTGCTTTAATTGTCTCTAGAATCGCTTCCGTTGTTGACAAGTTGCTCAAATAAAATGGAATCTGGGCATAAATCAATGGCTGAGCTTTTGGTACTGAAACAACAGATAACAGAGTATAAGATCCTTTATTAAATCTTCATAAATCAGCTGTAAAACTTAGTAAGCTTAAATTAAGTATCCCTCCTTTAACAGCACACTTATTATATTTAACATCCTAATGCACAATGCTTGTCAAAAAAAAACATAAAAAAAAACATAAATTGTCAAGTGCCTGTGTATAAGCTTACTGATGTTACAAAAATAAAGTTAATAAAAAAATGTAACTCACTTTTATGATCATATATATCATAAGAATCATGGACCCACTGGGAAGGAATTGGATGGAAGTCAGCCATTGATGCAGCATATGTCATAGCATCGTTAGATACCCATGCAGTCAGATAATTATAAAATGCTTCAGTGTTGATCACACCATCATCATTCACAAGTTTGTTCTGGAACACCTACAGTCAAAATACATTGGTATTATTATATAATTCTAACAGATAACTAATTTTCCTTAGTTACGGTTTTTCATTATCAACTGTTGAAACTGTTCATCATTTAAAACTTTCTCAATACTCTATACTATTTCAACATGTAATAATACTCAAATGTAAAAGATGTTAAAATTTGTCTTTACTTAAAATTGTATTCTGATGAATATTAAAATAAACAAAAAGTGATATTCAGTTACCTTGGTTTTGTCTGTAGGATTATCAAGATCTCCTGTCTGTAACATAAGTTTGTAACCAAGTATAGCTTTGTCTGAGGCATTGTAGTACCAACCATCAGCATGTATCCTCCTCTCCGACACCTCTCTCTCAAAAACTACCTGGATATCTGTAAATGGATTTGAATTGATTGATCTGACTAAGGAGTTGCATATTTATTCAACATTTTAGGAACAGACATTAAATGTATTATTTCACTGTCAAATTAAATAATCTCTGTATTAAACATATTACAACAATACACACTGAAATAGTATATGAACACAGTCATAATGTGAAGAATTGCATACCTTTGAGCCAGTCTCTGAACATATCAAGCCAGAAATCTGGCATAGAGTTGTCTTGTTTCTTGATAATATTATCAACTGTTTGGAAAGCTCGGTGGTAATCTCTTAGTAGATGTTGGTTATTTGGATAATCAAAACCATCCTGAAATAAAAAATAAATAATAAAGAAAATTTTCAAAATTAAGAATACATGGATTTTATCATCTGACCCATCTCTTGTTCATATTAGTCCAACATGGACACAAATCTTATAACTTTTTTAAAAAAGCATGAAAACAAGGACGAAATAATATTAAAAGTAACATACTTTGTCTTTATCAAAGCTGAACTGTTTCATTATAAATCTTCCAAAATATCATTATCTTGACTTCAGTCATAAATCATGCATAGAAACCTTAATAAATACTAACCTTTGTAACCATATAAACATTGTAAAAACCAAAGTATTTGGACTGTGCTTTTAGAAATTTGTATTCATTTGTATCTTTTGGTACGACATCTGTCAGGTCTAGTCCATCCTTAACTTGTGCTGTTCCATAAATTCCAATAAATAAAAGTACCAAGAATCCAACAATTGTAAAAACCTGAAAAAAAGGAATTTTTACACTTTTTTGTCCCTCATTTTTCTTTAAAAATAAACCATGAAAGTCTGTAGACAGTTGTCATAAAATAGTATTAAAACTTTTACGTTTTGCAAAAAGCCTGGGTATTTCAAAAGACTACTTTTATAGATCCTCATAAAAACTATCTATTGATAATCACAAGTTCATTTAGAAGACATAAACATAAATTAAAAAATAATACATGCATCAATGAATTTCACATTAAAAGTTTTTAAGAAACAGAGCATACTTTATAAGGCATTTAATGTAAACAATTTTCTAGAGTCTTCTTGTGTTTACTGATTTTTTGTTTCATTAAAGAAAACGTAATACCTGCACCTTTGGAGTATAGATTAACAGAAAACACAATACCTGCACATTTCGATTTACAAAGCCACATGCTGCAAGTAGATTGGATTTCAAAGAAAATCTAATTGCCAAGAAACAGTAAAGGAAAAAATGCACATTTATACACAAAGTGCTGCACATTCACTTTAGTTCCTATAGTAGATTGGAAATACAGGAGCATTCTCTCTTTCTCCCTCTCCATAAATATATTCATGTATAATTATACATATGAAAACTACAGTTTTCTGTAAGTTTAGAGTATTACTCTGTAGCTTCTGACTTTTTATAATCACTTACATTGACCCATTTCTTCTGTAAAAAAGTATTACTCTGTAGCTTCTGACTTTTTATAATCACTTACCTTGACCCATTGCTTCTGTAAAAAAGTATTACTCTGTAGCTTCTGACTTTTTATAATCACTTACCTTGACCCATTTTTTCTGTAAAAAAGTATTACTCTGTAGCTTCTGACTTTTTATAATCACTTACCTTGACCCATTTCTTCTGTAAAAAAGGAATATAATGTTGTTTTGCCAGTGAGGTAAAGGTTGCTGTCAGACATTTCTTCTGAGCCATGGCAAATGTTTGGTGGCATGAGATCCCCTCTTCTGGAGTAAGACATTGTCTTGACGATGAACTGGTGGTTTCTATAATTACATTTACTTTCATGGTTAGTGTTGAAATTTAACAGAACACAGCTACATTTTTAGCATGTAATAACTATATTGTATTTATGTATATTTCATTAGTACACATTAAAAGTGCATATTGTAATTGTGTACTTCTATGTGAAATATTAAAATAACTATAATCATAAATTCTTAATAAAACAATCGTGGTATAAATGAATCATTTCTTCTGTCACTAGGATTTAATAATATATTGTTTGTAAGGTGCACTTTTATAACCTGACAAGTTCCAGCTGACAGTTGTACTATTAAACATTTGTAATACTAGACTACATGAGTAAAAATAATAAAGATCTCACATTGACAGGTACAAAAACGTTGAGAACTAGTAAAACTGGTATTTATTTTAAAATAAGAAGACAGAAAATCACAGTAAATAGGCATAAATTTGAACATACCTGTAGCTAGTTGTCCTCTTGGTACAAAGACACCTTCATTAGGGGCTAGACTTGTTACTGTATGTATACCATCAGGAGCAGTCTGGGTAACAGTGTTGTGAAGTGCTGATGAAGCATAACTGGGGGGAGGACTAGGACTGTACTGGGGTGGACTGTAACTTGGTGGCGGGCTTTGGTCACGGGACTGGAAGTCATGCTGTGGTTGTAACTGCATTACCAAGTTTCTGGTATCAGCAAAACTAAAATAAAAAGTTCAAAATCAACAACTTGCAATTCATAGGACTTTTGATTTATTCAATGAAGCACCAAAAAGATATTCAAATAAACTTTGATATTACTTTTTTCTTTTTTTATGTTAATTAAAATGAAATTAACTCTTTGGATTTTCTGGATTTTGATTGTACACAAGGAATATAGATAATAAACTGACCTTTGAAAGCAACAGAAGATGTCGATTCTTTTGTCATCTTTTCTTTGGAGATCCATGCTACATATAGCAGGATAGACTAGAACTATTGAGGCTAAATTAAACAGGATCAAAATAGCTGCCTGTAATACAAATAGTATCAAGTCAAAAAGGACAACACCACAGATTAACATACAAACGTGTAATTAGCTAGGTATCTATCCATTGTTCATTAATTAATCCAATGTTTTGGTGGGTTAAATAAATTATCCAGATACTGAAAAAGAGTCAGAGAGACGTAATACAAACTCGAAAAAATAAAATCAAATTAACTTCAAATATTTTGTTATCAGAAGTCTAATTTTTTTATCTGTTTAAATCAGTAAAACTAACTGAGTATTTCCAACCAAACAATTCTTGCTAAAAAAGATAAAGATTATATAATCAAATGTTAGTTTATTGTTCACCTACCTGTAAAGAGAATGCCCTCAAGGCAGGAATTGGTATGATAGCTGCTGTAAAGAAAGCCAGCATATTGTTGAAGGATGTCAGTAAAATTGTCACACCAGTTCTCTTTAAACATTCCCCTGTTTGCTCCTGCAAATGGAAATATTCAAATCAATTAAACTAAATATTCGTATTGAGAAAAATTTATTCCAAAGTAATAGTAATATTTTTGATAATTGCATCATAAGGATGACTTGGAACTGAATGTGAATGTACCAAATTAACTGTAAATTCCGAATAATTCATCTTCACTAGCAATCACTCTACACATATCTTGTACTTACACTTAATGGAATATTTTTCTTTTCAGCGTTTTCAGAATATGTATGAGCAATGAGGAACATATCATCCACACCTAATCCCAGTGCTAGAAATGGTATGATCTGTGTAGTGGCTGCATTGAATGGTATCCCTAGAACACAGCAGATTCCGAGCCCAGCCGCTACAGATAAAGCTATCAGCAGTACCCCAGCAATCCCTATACCACTCTGTGATTGCACTGCATTGTTCCATTTCAACAAAGATACACAGGCATATATAATCTGTAATATAAAACATGTTCCTGGTTAGGTTAATTAATATATTGAGAAAAATAGATACTGTGGATGTCTGACAGAAATTTTACAATTTATACAGAATTCATATTTTCTTTCCATGTGTTATGGAATAGATATATATAATCTAAGTAAATTAAGAATTTTGAAAAAAAACCCCAAATAATCTGATGTCTGCTCTGCTTGAATGTTCTTTATCAGGTATCCTTGAGTCCAATAGTTTGGAAAGCCAGAAATATCAATGTCTGACAGCACAAGAGTCTAAACAGCCTAAACTGTCTACAGTTATATTTGCCTGAAGGAGTTGCAACTTTTTGTACAGTTACATAATTTTAAACTGGAAATATAATTTCAAATCATGTCAATATCACAGAACTGACTACAGGGAAGATGGTACACTCAATGAACCTGTCATATTTGTTTTCTGTGATATATAGGTTGATTAAACTGAAAATAATGGACTTTATCTGTTTATGAATACATTCCCTATTTGGTTTGAAAATTTCTTTTCAATGGTTGATTTTGTATGCATTTCATGTGTTTTTCACTATTAAACTTACCATAAGTATGTAACCAACTTACCATAAGTATGTAACCAACTTACCATAAGTATGTAACCAACTTACCATAAGTATGTAACCAACTTACCATGAGTATGTAACCAACTTACCATAAGTATGTAACCAACTTACCATGAGTATATAACCAACTTACCATAAGTATGTAACCAACTTACCATAAGTATGTAACCAAATGCCACTCTCACAACACTAATACCAGAAAACTCTGTCATCATGTCCAGTAGTGAGGTAGTAGCAAACGCATACACAGAATCAGACGTGTTCTGGGCTCCGGTCATACCAGATACAACCTAAAGCAAAACAAGTCATATAATGTCAGGTGTTAATTTAAATTTTGGTGACACTGCAAAAAAAATTTGTTAATACTCCACAGAAGTGTGAACAAATATGGATATACAGCATAAGCGAAAAAATATACTACTAAAATTCATCTACAATATATCATATAAAACTCATTATATTGTTATATACACACAAATACAAAACCACATTCCCCATAAACTAAATGATGAAAGAGGAGGAATTTGTGAAATCTAATGACAAATTTATACATAAAGTATATTTTTGTATTCTTTGACAGTTATTGCAGAAGACCCAAGCTATATCCATCCATTAAAAAGATATCAACATTCAATATTTACAACTGTTTTTTTAACTATAACATGGATGTCTTAAAGAGGGATACATACTTCTATAAACTTTCTTTGCCAAGTTTCCAAGACCTGCTTGGCTTTATCTTGGCTCCATTCAATACTGTGTACTTTGTAGTCATCCTGCCAGAACTCATACAGAGATTTCTCTGCCATTAACTGGACAACTGACTGCATTGCTTCAGCTCTGTAACATAAAGTACATATTAAAGTTACTTGGACAACTGACTGCATTACTTCATCTCTGTAACATAAAGTACATGTTAAAGTTACTTGGACAACTGACTGCATTGCTACAGCTCTGTAACATAAAGTACATATTAAAGTTACTTGGACAACATAGACTGCATTGCTTCAGCTCTGCAACACAGAATAAAGTACATATTAAAATCTTTACAATTTTTCATCCAAAGAATTTACCATTGGTTGGAAGTTAAGCCCACCTAGTCAAGATGCTTTGGTCGCATTTTTTGGGGGAACTATTTAAATTACCATGTATATGAGATTTTTTTTTTAGTATCAAATCCATGACTGGTGTTTAAATGGATTATAAAACTGAAAAGTTTTATTTAGTGTTCATCATTTTTATCTTTTGAATATTTACACACATTTAATATATGTAATACTTTCTATTCAAGTCAGGATTTTTTTCAATTCCTAATACTGATGAAAGTATTTTGATAAAAATAAACTGATAGAGTGGGTCAATGTAAAATAAGTTAGGCTATACTTTAGAATGAATTTGTATAGAGAATTGGCAAGAGACAATTGTACTGATTACCCAATAGAAAAAACTCATCCTTTATAGATACTGTCACCTATACAATGTGACCATCAACCTACTGACAACGGTAATCACTTAAATCATTTTCAACTATCTGACCCATTTTAAGTTTATTCAAAAAACTTTCTATTCAACTAAAAAATTCCATAGCGAAAATATTTACATATATTTTCAGTGTAAGGGTAAAGAGAACATAAATCTAGATTGTTGATGTAAACAATGAACACTAAAATCAAACCTATATTTTCATTACATGGTTTTTCTTTTTGAAACACTTACAATTTTTGGCAAGGATATTCACTCTTTCTGTAACAACAAGTTACATTTTTTTGCCAAAATCAATAAAACTGTTGACCTCATTTGTCTATCTTGACCTACCTGACAATATGGCCAGTTTTATTTTTCTTTGCCCCTCCAACTATTAAATCTTCATGCCACTGCATTAAATTTTCAGCAAATCCAGTGCATCCATTAGTTAATTCAGCTCCAATGTCTGGGATCTAAAATAACATACTTTACATTTCTATCATGCCATATTTCAGTTTTATCACTAAAATGTACCACTAGGATAATTTTATTTAAAAAAAAAAATACATTAAGAGACCACATGAGGGTTATGTTTTTGTGATAGGTTAAGCCATTTCTTTTCCATATTTCATGGTATGACAAAATTAAACTTACTAAATGCACTATCAATTACATTACTTCATTCAAGAAACTTAGCATGACTTGCAATTTGAAAAATATTAAAAATTATAGTTCTATTTAAAAAGTTGATATTGAGCTTATTAAAATTGACACCAATATAAATTCTTTTTATAAGATTATGAATTTGTCTTTCATAAAACGAGAGCTTTTCATCTAAGATTTGTTCTTTCTTTGTTCACATATCCATTGTAAAGTAATTTTGATGAGTAAATTTTTTGGGTGTAGGTTTCATGATTTAACTAGGAGATAAAACATAGTGGTAGGTTTGACCATCTTAATTACACCCTGTGTAACATAATACCAGAGTCAATAACTTCTAAACATTCCAACTTTATACAATTGTTCACCCTTTAAAAAACATGGTGGGTGTTGAATGTACATAAAAAAGTCACAATGATCATCTATAAACCAAGGGTCGGTTCAATGTTCAAAGACTTTAACCATAAAAACATGGAAATTAAAGCCCTATTGTAAAGTAGTCTCGATAACTTTGCCTAATTAACTGTAGATCCTTACAAAGCAGAAGTCCTTATTAAAGACAACATTCAACATTGTCTAAAATATCTTTTTGATAAATGTTTTCCTTTGCACTGCCTGTTCATCATATTTCAAATTAAAACGTCTGGTATACCTGTTCTATTCAATTCAAAATATGTCACAAGGTCATAGAGGTCATTGCAACAACTACCATCAGTTACTTTATAGTCAGTGATACTAACAAATACACATGAATGGAAATGCTCTTAGATTTCACTGCATAAACAAACTCTTGCATGTCAGTATATGTGTTAGTAAATCTGTTGTGAGGGTGGTATATATTTACATACGTCATGTTGGAATACATGCATTTTGTCAGACCAATTTGTACTTGAAGGGACACAGAACCTTCTCGTAATATTTGATGAATATATCCTTAGGCAGATAAGTGATTGTTCTGGAATAACTGACCTTGATAAATCCTATTTGTTAACTTGAATTAGATGTGAAAAAAATTTGCCTTTTTTTCCTATTAACTAAACAAAAAGTGTATTTACCAAGCCAGAGTGCTTGTTAGGAGCTGAATCTGGGCACTGGGTTTCTGTCGGATCTAAACATGGTCTCTCCTGGTACCCTGTGGTAATACCAGCCTGCAATAAATATTCAACCTTTTTTTAAGTCTGACAAAACATATGTAACTTAGTTCTGAAACAGAATTATTCTACTAATAAACAGTGTTTGGGATGCATTGTAATTCAAATATTCCAAAGGCTAACTGAAAAAAAATAATGATTATTGCAACTAAGATGAACTACATACAAGACTATCTGTAACTGAAGTACTGTTGAAGATTAAACTTGTTTAGTTCATTATTTTATCTATCTATTCTGTCATTTTTTTACCTTGCAGAATGTTGATTAGGGCATGCATGTAGCTTGTACTACTATTAAAATAAATGAAATCTTTGAAGTGCAAATGTATGAAAAAGTGACATTAAGGTGACCACAATTTACAGTAAGCAATTCTATGTGTGTGGTTGATTGATAAGTTTTCACAAGCGATTTGTCATCGCTTCCACATTATGTAACAAAATGACTTTAAATGTTGGTAATTTGTTACCCCACAGTAACATAGTACAAAAACATATCAATAATAAAATTTATTAATAAAATGCACGAATTGAGACTCTTTATTCAGATCAAACATATTAAAGAGGTAAATGACAGCATGAACGAAGATATAAGGATGTCAATATCTAATTAGCATAATATATATTAAACTTTGTACTTGTTGTATCCCAGATCATAAAAATTACCTCTTTCATTATTTCCTTCATCAATTCCACCTTTGGAATCATTTCTGCATTATTGTTCTCTATGTATTCTATAAGACTTTGAGGGTCTAAACTCTTCCATTTTAGAGGTGGAATAGGTCTAAAAATTAACAAAGGAAATCTATCAACAATTAGCGCATAAAACCAACTTCATATGTTTTCTCCCAAATAACTGTAAAATAATCCGCCTGTAAGCTGTGTATTTGGCAAGTTTTGAAACTGGGAATTTAAATGCTATAAACTAGATTTCCTCAAATGATTTCTGGTAATATACATCACATAATATTTAAGAGCTGCAAAAATGAGAAAATTGAATAATTTCAGCATCAAGCCAAAAATTAACACAAGTGTTTTCCTAAAACTGATTATTTGGAGTTAAGTGGTTAACTGCCATACTTTAATCATATTTTCTTGTTTCAGGGAAATTAAATATGTATTACAAATATTTACAGAAAAATAAATTATATTTCCTTCAGTTATGAGAACATATTAAGTTACAATTTAGAAATTTATTATGAAATTTATCTATGAAGAATGAATGATGTCTTTTTTTTGTGTTCTCTGATTGTTGGCTTTTTGACTCATATATCCCTTTCTTCATTTGACATTTATTCCAATGAAGATACTACATCTTTTGAATCCTTTTTTCTTAATAAAATTATATTTTAACATCTTAACTCATTCCTTATCAAGTCTATTATAATGGGAGGTAAAAAAATTTTTTTATGATATACAATAGGTAAAATGCATCTCTTTAATTTACCCCATCGCCATTCAAACGATACTTGATGATGTAACAATAGATTCCCCTTTATGGTTCAGCTATAAAATTCAGTTTACATCATAATAGGAGTTTATAACATCTGAAATAATATTTTTGTTAAATCCCTTTTGGATATTTTAGTAATCAGATAAGACATAAATTTATTTATTCAAGTCTGAAATACAAAAAATGATTTAAATACAGATATCAAGCCCTCCCATGGATTTAAATTTATGGGAAGATTTAGATTTAGTGAAATGCAATGTAAATATATAAGTTTGTAATTAAAATAATGAATTACTTGGGTGAATTTCTTGTGGGGTATGAAAGGCAAGTTAGTATTTAACAGAAATGCTGACAGAATAATCACAAAATATTACTGAAATATTATTCTATTTTATTTTTTTATGCATCTGATCTATTAATTTTTTACAGAAAAAAAACATGATTGAAGGAAATTTAGTACGTTTGTCTGACTTTATTGTAAAAAGATATATTTCATCATTTCTTGTAAAGTTTTGGAAAGATGGTGTAAGATTTTATCCTAAGTCAAATCTCAGCTATCTTGTTATTAGAGCTTAGAAAAGAACTTCAAAGAAGACTAAAACAGTAAAAAATGAATTTATTCTGCCATAAAGAAATAAATCTTTATTGATAAAAGTCAAAGAAATATGTGTCATAATCGGATATTTTATTTTGAGCACAACAGTAAATCACCTTCATTTGAAACAACAACAAATGTTTCAAGTCTGACCAAAATCACAGGTGTATATAGAAGACCACCCACTTTGTCTTATCATTTATGCCTACAGCATAATACAAGATATTTCCTTCCAAATTTTTCCTAGTTTACCACGTTTCATTCATTAACTACAGTTAAATCTCTTTCCCCAGAAACTTTATTGATTCTATACAGAGATAATCAAAGAACATCAAGGGGATGGAGGAAATTTACTACTCCAAAGTAAACACAAGCAGGTTGTTGTTTGTCAAAATCAAATTTAACATTCATAATTCATTGCCTTTGTTCACATTCATTTTATTTATGCAGATTGAAAATAAAATTCATAATTCAAATAGCATATATTGTTTCATCAATGAAGAATTTCACTTCATGCACCAATATACAAGCAACTTATAAAACATTTGAAAATATTCTTTCATTTTTGTAAGAAAGGATAGGTTGAATTATTTGTTTCTAGTTTTGATATCAGAACATTTCAATTCTATGTGCAAACTTTTTGAGGTGAACACTCATCTTCTGTTTTCATTAAATACAACAAAATAGATTTTCCTGGATAATTTGTTTTCAATTACTAATCTACCACTAAAATATAGATGCTCCAAGTGCAGAAATTTGTCTTATTCATTAGTACCGGTATGTTCGGTATTTTTCGTTACATGGAATGAGGTTCATTTTCAAAATTTAATATTTAAGACCAAATGAACTTCAACCTTTCTCTTTTTAAATGTGTTTCAAAAATATATACTCATAATCGACTGGACATGTTCTATGGGTAAAATAAACTTATAGAATGTAAACTTCCTGAATTTTACAAGAATATAATGGAAAACTACTTTACTGTCATAATACACTACATATACTGCAAGTTTAATCATTTCTTTGGAAACTTGCCCTACCTGAAGTTCAATTAAAAATTCCACAAACATTTTATTTCTACCTACTAAATTAATGTTATGAAGCATTCAATTGTTGATCACACATTTTAGAAGGCCTGTACCCCAGATGACCACCCAGGATGGTAAATATCGTGCCAGGAATTTAGGACAGAAGAGTACCAATGTCAGATTTAATCATTCGACAGATGCCAGGAGGGATAATTAACCAAGCTTTCCTTAATGTTACATAAGGTTAACAAGCTCGCATATGTAACACAGTTTTCATCAGCAAGTGCTTTGTAAAATCATCACTCTGTAAAAGAGAATTGTTTCACAAAATATTCACAATTCACATTTGTAAACATTTGTGCAGGTGCTCCTTCATGTTTAAGAGAAAGAGAGAAGTTCTTTATTAATAACAGGGTGTCAACATAGATTTCAATTGATACTAGCTCCAACAACTGCTCAAAGTGAGATTTTACTCAACACACATAGAACTGTTGTATTTATTTGTCAACAAGTTCTCTTTTACTGTATCATCATTTTTTATTATAATAAAAGATTTTGCAGATTTAAAAAAGAAATATACAAGGAACTTAATTAACTTGTCCTAATAATAAAACTTTGACTTCAAATTCATCTGGCTATTTTGAGGAGTGGAAACCAGCATGAAGATGGAGGTGATTATCTACTTGTTTATAGTTACTTACAATGTTGTCCAGACTGAATTATGTGGACCAAGAACTTTAGCACCATCCCAAAAACAATCCAGTGGTGTAATAATCACACAAGGTGTTATTTTTTGGATGATCTGAAGAAAAATAATACATGTAAGAAATAAACAAGACATAGAAGAATAAGAAAATTCATTTTTGCACATATGTTCATTCCCATTAAAAAAAGAGTGGAAAGAATGTAAAATTAGTTACTCCCTAGTGATATAGACAATGAACACATTACATAATCAATGCTATTAATATCCTAAGTTACTCATTTATTCCTTTGGTGATTTTAAAAAAAAACATAGTTTACTACAAAATCAGTACAGTCTCACATACATAAGAAAATTCAAAATAAGGGAGATAACTCATGAAATAAAAAGCATAATACTTACTCCATCAATAAATGTGTCATCAAAAATAGGGAATTCAGCTAAATAACATATATCATTAAATTTCCATGTCCTGAAAAAGAAAACAATATTTGTTTTATTATTAGAAATAATATGCAATGGTTCTATTTCTTATTTTCCAAACTCAAGAATGTATTACCCACAGCAGTGGACAGATTATACAAACATCTGCCTAGATTGATTGTTCTTGAAGTACATTACAAAAATAAAACTAAGAATTTATTTGACTCATTTTCTCCAATATAAGTATTTGAGGTTGTTTTTTTTTATCTACTTACGTTTCAAAGAGGTCTACTTCTATCTCTGTAACTCTCAGTAATGTTTCTAAATGTAGTAATAAAGATTTTTGTGTTAAGATATTTGATCCTTCTTTTGGTGTTTGAATAACAAGTTCACTGGTGGTTCCACTACCAACACCTACGGTGGCCTTTGTATAAGCTAATTCTTCCTCTAATCTGCCACCCGCTGTGGAAAAAACAAAAGTTTTATTAAAATTTAACATCAAATAAGTAAACAGAATAGTTTTATATCAGCACTGTAATAAATAAAAATAAAGGACCGAATAACATATTGCTTTCCAGCTTTATTCAAAATCCACATGCACCCTGCAAAATATGAATAAATTCGGGAATCTGGATGCATGTATACCTGAGGGGAGAGGCCCTTCCTTGACAGTACATTTCTGAAAACTCCTCACATGGCATAACATTGTTTTCACTTAAACCCTTAAATCTAACATCAGAAGATGGTCAAACAGTCATGAATTTCCAGTTTTGTCAATGAAAATTATAGCAGATTGACAAGTAGATTCAAAATAATGATGACATTTTCACTTTCAATGTTATCAAATGATTTCTCTTCCTGACACAAAAACTGGACTCAATTATAGGGTATAGAATAAACAATACAGTTAAGCATTGTTTATATAAAACAAAGTATGGAGAGCAATTCCTGTTAAAGAGAAACAAAGACATTCTGAGATATCCCCTTCTCCCTGGAAATCTGATCAGGAGTCCGAAGAGAAATAAAGACATTCATTCTGAAATATCTCCCTGTAAATTTGATCTGGAGCCAGAAGAGAAACAAAGACATTCTGAGATATCCCCCTCTCCCTGGAAATCTGATCAGGAGTCAGATCAATTTAATACTGATTATACTCACATTTACTCCTCACCGAGCAGGCATTCCAAAGGGAATAAATTATTATTATATTTTATTATAAGATTACCATGAAAATTGTTGTTTCAATACAGCATATGATAAAATGTTGCCTGTTTTTCTACAATCTGTATGTTAACTGGTTATGATCTTACAGGAGAAGTGCACTTAATTTGTATTCAGTCTTTCAAATACTAGTTACAGAGAGAAATTATTTAAAAATTTGTGAATGTCATTGAATTTTGAAATATTTACTTTATACACATAGCACAGAACCAATATTTAGTTAAGAAGGAGTACAATAGCGGAAATATTATGACAATGACCTCGGTAAAGTTTTGGATGACTGCCTTTAATATGATTGGATGACAGAACTAGCTGTGTGTGGCCCAGTGTTTGATGTAGACTAAAATGTCATATGTTTTTGTATGTACCTTGTACATAGTAAGTGCATTTTACACAAATCCCTTTTTACAACAGAAAAACAAATAGAAGTAAACCTTGGTATGTTGAATCTCAGTCCAATTACAAACTTTCTTCTCCTTCACTCTGCTCATTAAATTACTTCTTACAATTTCACATTTTATTTTTATGGAATATTCTTAAATTCTTTAATCACTCAGATTTTCCAGTCAAACTAACTTCAAAAAAAATGTCCAGAAAAAAAGTTGTTTAATCAGTGGCTCTTGGTGCAACCATTTTAAATTATTATTTGTATTTTCCCTCTTAACCTATTTATTGTATAACTTGCCCTCTTTCAACTTTCTTACAAACAATAAACTTTATGTTTTTTTGGAACAAGTGATGTATGAAAACCTTCAAAAAATTTAATTAAATATTTTAACAGCATAGTTTAAATTGACATTGTCATGCAAGAAAGCTAAGCATTATTCAAAAATACCATTTCTCAAGGAAAATTTCATTCATTCACCTCAACCAAAGTACAACCATTTACTATGACTAATTGATAGATCAATCCACATGCAAAATACATTTTATTCAAATCTAAATTTTAAAGTTCTGACAAAGAAAGTTGACGGACTTTATTGAATGGAGAAGAAAAGTTAGTACAAATGTTTGGCAGTAATTGGAGATTTGGCATGCAACACATTCATTGTGTTTAGTGAGGCAGTAAGATCTCACATCATGTTCCTGTGTATATGCTACCTTGAGGGTGGTACCCTTAACACTTGTGTATTTTCTTTTTATTTTGTGGGTTTGCCATTATAATTTTTTTTCAAAACACAAATCGAAACTTCTGTTTGAGAACAAAATATCTATTTTGATCATTTAATACTCCTGCTTTTTGATATAACAATTTGACTCGGTAAACTTGCTAAAGAGCTTTATATAATCATTTGGTATTTTCTATTTTAAACACCTTTTTGTGAAGTGTTGGTGTTGTCATGTTTCATTTGGAACTGTCAAGATTCATGTATGATACCCTTTTTTTTGCTTTTTGCTATCATCTGACTAATGCATACGTCTCACCTACTTACATCACAACATCATTCATACAAGTTTCTCTAAATTTCAAAAGCTAAAGCAATCAGCTTGTCAGCATATTTTTTTAAACTCCCAAGGTATAAAAATGAACATTTTCAAAGATATAAAGTTTCTTATATTTCTACACAATGATAAGACCTACATCTACCACAAATTTTGAGAGAAGATGTAAATTTTTCACCAAAAAAATGAACTTTCATCCATGTATCCAAAGAGAATTTGTTTTAACATTTCCCGACATGGCAGGGATGAATCAAGATCCACCACATTTGTAAACATTTTACATGTTTGTGTGTAATTATACCTGATTTCATTCTAATAGCAATAAATAACATTTATTACCCATTAATTATATTCCATCTTACTTGAGATACTAGTTGGGCACAATGGTATAGGTATGATGGTTAAAAAAGATCATGGCCTTTGGCCAAAAATTGAAGAGCAAAAAAATTCCTCGGCATACCACCATTCCTACTAAATGCATTGCACAAAGGTAGTATCTGCAAATCTCAACAAGACAAAAGTAAGATATAAAATTACATAGGAACACCAACACAAGGGATATGCAAGTTAACTGTAAATGTCTAATTATTATCTAGATAACTAAACATTACTACACGGGTGGTCTGTGGTGTAAAACAAAAAAAAAATCAGTGTGATTTTAACCTGAGAACATTTACTGGGTATATATGGTGTTGTCATCATGGCTAATGTAAATTATCTGTCATTCAACCAAGACAGGACAAAGGTTGTTACCATTTATACATGCTCTACTGGCCACCATGTTCCGCTGATTCATGGAAAATTTCGAATATTTTCAATAAAATGGGAAGATATTTATTTGAGCTTCAGGTTTAAGAACTGTTTACTGATTAAGTATCTTTGGGATTTTGTCTTTTTCTTTTTAGTTAAACATTTTCTAGAAAGTTATGAGGACTAGTATTAGCTATTATATATATATATATTTACATATATACAAGTCATAAATAAAAAACAATATTCTTAAGTCACAAAGCTTCGTCAAAATAAAGTTAACAATAAAAATATCTTACGTTTCAATAATAATAACATTATTCTAAATTAATTCTACATCTAAAATTACTTTGATGGAGGGAGGAAAACAAAATTTAGAAAAAATGACCAATACAACATACTATGTGCTGTAAAAAGTAGACAACAACAGAGCAATCTGCATGTATATACATAAATAAATATTTAAAGACATACATTTGACAGTCCATTACTGGACTTTTGACAATTAATTTCAGGTCTCAGAGAGTGAGTTTGTAAGCTGGAACCTCCTCCCAAAATATTCAGCTAGAGATTGACAATTTTGATTTGGGGGGTACTCTTAAAATATGTATGTGTGTACCTCCAGTCTAATGAATGCAGCACTGAAGATATGTTAAACAGATTCATGAGAAAGAGACAATTCCAAATATACAAAACACATAGATTATTTAAAACTCCCATGTTTCAAAAAACATCCGTTCTTTTGACATAAGACCAAGAATAAATTTAAGATGACCTCATTTCCAAAACAAATGTATTGAAATATGAAAATGTACACAAAGGGATGAATAACTTTTTTTTCACAAAAACATCAAAATAATTGTTTGTCAGTACATTACTTAGACTGGGGATAATGTCCTAAGAAAAATTCAAACTTACAACAAACTTATCTATGTGGAAACTTTATGGTTAAAATAGATGTAGAACCTCTATGTCAACGACACATGTCATGGAAGAGAAATCTAAGGACCAAATAATGTGGACAGTTCACCATAAACAACCTTGTGGCTTTCTTTTTCTTTCTTTGGGAGTTGTGTTTTTTGTATTTGTTTATGAACAGGACACTAAAAGGTACACATTTACAACCTGAGGCCATTTATGTTCAAATTTCACCTTGCTTTCAATATAAAATTGTGAAACTTGTTATATCATGGTTTATAGGAACACTGCATTTAATGAAAAATCTCCTTATATTCATAAGAAGTTATTAAACAAAAGCTAAAACAAAGCACAGAAATACAAAAAAAAACAGTTCTTTCAAAAGATCAAAATTATCTCCCTTTATTATACCATATCTATGACAGATTAACCCATTTCTGATTTACCTAGTATTGTAAACATCATTCTGTGTGTTAAGCATAAACTCTACTAAATTCTAAACAGAATTTAATGAAAATTGCACAGCACTTTTATTACTTATCAAAATTATCCCATTATAACTCAAGCAACAGGAGATGCAGATTAAAGGAAAGTTGAAAATAAAATACAAATTCTTTACAATTTCATTAATTATCAATATTGTCCAGAATTTGACTGATCTGTCGACATGAGCTAGAATTTTAATGGTAAAAGGTCATACACACAATAGTTATCTAGTACTGTGTAATGAGAGCTACCTCCTAATGATTATAACAAATCCTACAGATATTTTCATAGTTCATTTTTTGTGAACTCAGTGTATATCTGTCTTAATGAAAAGAATGTATATACCAGAATTGAAATGTTTTTCTGTCATTTCTTAACAGAATAATCAGTAGATACCGCATTGTTGGCAATCACTTTAAACTAATGATAAAAAATTTCTCAGAAAGTAATATTAACCTTAAGTTTGTGTTTATCATTAGAAGAACTTTAAGAAAGGCCAAATAATTATCTACAAAAGCAAACCAGGATAATGTGTAGATGTATAAGATACAAAATCTTCTGAAAGCAGGATTACAGGGGCATTTCCATGATTTTTTATTTCTCATTATTGAAGATATAACATTTATTTTGAAGATTTTATACGAAAATTTATATATATCGTGAAAAACATGCTATTTAAAAAAAATTACGATCAAAGGGAAGAGGGAGTATATATCCTCTGGAAATGACTTTGTCTGTTACACAACTGAATACTGAAATGAAGACCAGTCAAAGCAGGAAAGACGAAAACTTCTATTTCTTTTTGTGCATCTTACAATATTTTTCTAAACATTTCTTAAAAAAAATAATAATTGAATCTGTAGATATGTACTTTGTCACTTCTATGTGTGTTACATTCATCTAGTTAGAAGAATTTTGTTACAACCAATCTAGTTTGAGGAATAGCTCTTGGAGATATTTCCTGACCTGAAGTCAAATCAAAATGGTATTAGCATTCTATCAATACTTACTTCAGGGTATATCAGTTATCAAAAGATAGTTGCCCTTTTAAGGAAAATAAAGCATTATTCTATAAAAAATTGTACAGAAAAACAATTCCCTTATTGGTTGTAAATATGAACCTTCCATATACAACAATTTTCAATATAAACAGGGACAGGTTTTACTAAAATAAAATGTATATAAAATAAACTGTGTATTTAAGTAACTTTTATTATGTGTAATTACGGGAAATCTTTTCCCTCCATGAGTCTATAAGCCTATTCAACATGACACAAATAATATCTCCTCTTTCATTTAAAGTTAAGATTTCATCCCTTGGAAAGAAAATTGGTATTCATTAACAAAAGTTGGTCACACTATCATTGACCTAGGTAGAAGTATTTGATTCATTCAGCCATAAAAACCTCCATCAAGTGTAATACTAGTACACAAATTACAATTGTCATCAGAGGAATCCAGGTCAAACAACATTAACAACATATTTATATCACTGCAGATGATCTTAAAACCCTCTTTCACTATTTTATCTGATCTTGACAGGAGAGAAAGCAAAAAAAAAAATCTTGAAATGCAAAACCACAACAAAAACTATTTTACTTATACAGTTAAAAATCCTGGAACAAATTTATGTATACTGTTTGATGTACATTTTAATTGATTGATTGTAGGTTGCTTAACATCCAGAGGCAAATATATCATGCATGTTCAGGACAAGATCTGCATCTTACACACACCCATATATATATATATATATATATATATATATATAATATAAAGCTACAATGAAGTACAAAAACACTTCAATAAATTAAACAATGCATATATTACTAGCAAAATGAAAAATAGAGAAAATCAAGATAATTAATATACCTCTGATAAAATATGAAAAACCATATATAATTCTTACATATTCCTCTTTGAGCCATTATAATAAAGTATATGCTTTAATTTAGAAATTTTATTGTAGATTTTACATTATGTAAGAAATTCTGAAGTTATTTCTGATTTCTGGTGTAAAATTCATTTGTAGATGATAACACAAAAATATTTGTATTCCAACTGAAGCAGAATTTATATCTCACACATGCCCAAGCCATCAAAACTTTAATCAAAAAGATTGCAAGAACAGACTTTGTGTATAACACTAAATAATGCACTGGATATGTTGTTTACAAAGTATACTACTATATAATTATTATATGCGTTTTGGCTTTATGATTTTATTATTAACTAGAAAGATGTGTTCAACATAAAACAGTTGTAAAATATTACTATCAGCAAAAAATCTTTCTTTGCATGCTGTTAAATGTTTTACAACAAAACCAGTTTTATACAGAAAAGGTAACGACAGTCCTCCTTCCCCATTGAAAAAAAAACCAACACAAATATAAAACTGCCTTTTAGATTCTCGTATTAAAATGTTCTAAACCATGTGCAATTAAAATGAAGACCACCAAGAATTTAATATTCCAAACTTATTCATGCTTATTGAACGCAATGATACTAATGTTTCTTTCCAACTGCATTTTCTTAAAACTCTCGCAAAACATCCAGTTGCCTTCCAACTATACCATCCCCACGGACTTCAATTAAGTAAAATACGTATGACCCTAAAGGTGACATAAATATATCATTCGGATTTTTTTCAAATCTCCAGAGATTACCTAAAAATTGCTTAATTAAACAAAAATTGTTAATATGTCGGTTAAAAACATACAAAAAATAGATGTATAGTTTTCCCATGAAGAAATTGCTAAGGTTAGAGGTTTGCATAAAGAACCCGTATGCAGAAGACCTCCCAAGAAAACGGTAATCTCGTTACCAAAATATCTGATTAAGATGAACTGATAATGCACTATTGTTATTTTTGTAATTAATATTTGACTTTTTTGTTACCAAATCTTGTTGAAAAAGGAGTGCCAATCTGATATTACACAAATGCTCCAAAGTTAGTTTAGAGAATATTGATAATTTGCAAGGTAGATGTAATCACGTCCTTTGTTTATCGATTTTATCACAACCAATCTAATGACTTTAATGAGCGGGAATAATCAAACTTATGACCAGTGAGTGTGCGATTGTTCGACTATAACCGTCAACAATCTCTGATGATTTCAGCGTTCCTAATATAACAGACGAGACCACACACAGTCAAGATCAAATTTCTAGGTCACAAAACAAGATGGCGGCTTACTTGCTTTATCAATCCAAGCGATGTTTGTGAATGAATATGCTGGCTCACATTAAACATAACAAATGTAAGAAGATGAAAATAGACATTTAACACGATTACTTACCTTCTACCCAAAGAGCTTCAACATCAGTTTCAAATTTGACCAGTTTGAATCCGATGCAACACAACGACAACAATAGTAATCCCATAAACAAAACTTTCCCACAATGTAATTGTATGAAACAACCAATACTGAACATATAATCTTGAAGATGCCATCGTACCCACAACGCACATTTATTCCCGTCAGCTTTACCCTGCAATATAAAAAGAAATTGTAGCCGGACGCACAATATATTGATGGTCAGATTATAACTTCTAAATAATAAATTGGGGAAACAAAAACATATTCAAAGTGGATGAAGTTAAACAAATTTTTCTGTCATGCAATGGACCATCTGAGATAACAGTTAAACTTCTGGAACTAAGATTTCATTTTGCCATCAAAAAAGTATGCCAAAAAGTATGGATAAATCTAACTTCATTATTATGTGATGTTGTAATAGATGACATTACCCTAGGGCTAAAACACACATCAATTCACAATGTTTTAATATACATGGAATTTCTTCTAACAAATGTAATTTTTCTCCACTAATGAACTACACAACATGTTATGTTATTACAGAAAAAGAACTCACAGAGAGTTGTGATAGAAATGAGGTCATGGAGATGCCTCGCTTCACATACCTTTTTGACTTGTTTATACGCTATCCTGGCATCCACAAAACTAGTCCTCGTTAACAAATCCTCATCAATTTGTGAATTAGTGCCCCTCCTTCGAATACTCATGATTTCCCGTTTTTGAAGGGGGAATTCACAAAATAAACTATGTCATTTGAATGCTATTCGAACCCACGTGGAATGTTGTTCGGTTTATACACTTTAAATTAACATTGATGTTATTATCACACAGTTTGAAATGCATGTAAGTACATCTTTATATTAGAAAATTTCTTCATAATTCTGAAGTCCTCATAGAAGATAAAATCCAAACAAAACACTGTAAGCTCCATACATCCGATATCATTCTTTGCGAACTTCAAGACTCCCGATTTTTGGTTAAGCTCCGCCTCCTCGTAATGACTGACAAGATGATATCGTGTTTGTCTGTTATCGGATTGGCCAGATTTAAATAGGATTGCTCAAGTAACAGCAGCTTACATTAGTTGCTAAGCAACAGTTCACCACAGTGCGCGGACCACACAAGATGCGAGAACTACCACAGCGTTAAATAAACGGCATATTTTCTAAAGGAATCCCGTACTTAATTGCTGTGTAAGACCGACTACAAATGTCACAAGCCAGTGAGTTTGTCACACAAAGAGAAACTTGTAGTTTAATGAACTAAATCTTTGCTTACTGAATTATCGTGATTATCAAGCCCACCGGATATATTAAGCAAATAGATTTCTTATGAAAAGGCAGTATTTTTTTTTCAAATTTTACAAATCATATCTGCTATTGTGTAATTGTCTAATGTGTTACAGTCGATCTTCTAGTTCAATATTACGAATTAATTCAGAGACCTTCTATATTACATTAAAACTAATGTAATTAAAATGACAGATGCTAATAAATTACACGTCGTATTGCCGTACAACCTGGGCGGGCTGTCACGCTGACGTATCTTTAAATACCTCGTGAAAACAACAAACCCTTAGTTTTTGTAGAGATTGATTATAAAAGACCGTATAAAACTGAAGTGGTCTTGTACGAAAATCTCCAAATGTAAATACGTGAATTATTTTATTTGCTATTAAAATATTTGCTCTTTATGGACATGGGAATTGTTAGAAATTAAAGGTAAAGCACAAGTGAAAACAAAAAAAAAAAGTAACCAAAATCAACTGAAGCAAGGTAGAAATACTTCAACAATTTTCTTTCTGATTTTTGCTTCTTTCAAAGAGAGAGAGAGTAACTAAATAACATTTTAACACTCTACCGAAAATTAGGTAAGTTTTAAAAATGTAAAATGTTATATGATTTAGGGAGATGCGAGATGAACGTTAGTGAAACAACAACACAACAACTCAAGTTAAGGAAACTAGATCTTTAAATATCACAAAGACATTCAAAACATTACCGTATAAAAGCCAGTTGTACCGAGACTTCCGAAAACCCACTTTCTATAAAGATATAAAATGAATCAAAAATTAAAATAGCCGGTTTGCCAGGGAAGTTGCTTAATCAATGGTAAATGTTTGAGTTGTACTTTTAAATATATGGAAACATAAAATGGAAAAAAAAGGTAAAAGTCTCAAATGGCCGGGTTGCTATACTTGTGACTAAATTTTGCTAAAAAATTACTAAGTTTCAAAGTTTCAAAAATGAAAAAAAATAATCGAACGATTCCGTAAAAACAGGTGCACACCTTCAACATATGTGTCATCTTTCTGTGAAGATTCATGGGTTTGGGTTGAAAACTATAGGAGTTGATTACACAAAACGTATACCCTATTTCATAAATTTTGCTGGAAAAAAACGAAGTCTCCAAGCTCAATATAACCTCAAAATGAGGAAGGCGTTGTCAAAGGTAACAAAGGGGGTGACAATAGAGAGGCAGAAGATTACAAAGGGATATTCAGACTCATTAGTCGAAAACAATCTGACAACGCCATGAATAAAAAACGACAAAAAAGCCAAAAGACAAACAAGTCTACAAAGCACAACATAAACAACTAATGACTTAGAAACACTAACCCAATCAAAAATTGTCGGTGATCTCAGGTGCTACGGAAGGTATGCAGATCCTACTCCACATAAGGCACCTATCGTGTTGCTCATGAAAGAACAAATTCGTTTATGTCACATAAGAGGAAAAGACAACCGGATTGTGGTTACGACAATTGGATCATATCCATCGTCATCTGTGAGAAATATAATCATAACGGCCAACCAACTGGTGATGGCATCCTTGAAATTGTCGATGGGATACTTCAACTTCACCACTTGGAATCCTTGGTTTAAAAGCTTCATTGTAACAACCCCCGTGATAGGAATTGCAAGCTCTGGAATATCGTTTCAACTCGGAGATATATACTCCAAATGCAGGCGCTGTTGGAATTCTATATAGAAACAGAAAGTTCACAATTAAAAAGCAGATAATATTACAGTTTAAAAGCAGCTTTATAGGAATATACTGACAGCAATGGAAGTTAGCATTTTCACAATCCCCCATTAGATAGGAATAATAATAGGAAATTGGAAAAAGATAAGACATGCTGAAATATCTAATGCACTGATTATTACTAAATACTTTTGAACGTTTATTTGATCATTAAATACGAGAAAGTTCCGTTGATCAATGAACCAAGAAAATATAGTCAAAAAACAAATACATCCTTACAATAATTCTACAGCCAAACTTTAACTATTTCATTCAGTAATTAAAAGATCTCCTTATACTGAGTTAAGGACAGGGAAAAAAATTATGTAGACGAAACAAACCATACTTTTTTGTTAACAAGATATGTATTATCCAAACAATGTTCGCCGTCGATGCCGCAGGATTTTCACACGTATGTCTGACAGTAGAGACTAATATCAAGAGAGGATCTTAATCCAATCGTCTCTTATACGAAATACTGTAAGCCTAAATCCATAAATTGGTAACACAACTTGGGTTCAGTTGAAGATTATGCCCGGCAATGGGCTAAACGCATAAAAGAAGACCTGAATACTATTAATCTTTCCGAAAGAGTTAAGGCTGTAAGTACGTTGATAACAGAGTAGGCCCGGTAAGACCCCTTTTTGGCCTCAAAATATAGCATTTCAAATTTGTTAAAAATGTGAACTTTTAGCTATTCATTGGAAAGAAGAATACCTTTGTTACATAAATATGGACTGTTTTGACAATACAATGCCCATGCATCATGTACTAGCATCATTAATTCATGCAAAATTACTGAAATCTTCACAATTTTAGCATTTGTGCTTATTTTTAGAAGGTTTTTGTCTAAAATGGAAGTGGCCGCATTCGTGTTCAGTCCCAACCTTTATATATGTTATGTATCATCATCAAATACAACATATATTTGAATATTAAGACTGAACACAAGTGACGTTTTGTGGCATATTTAATAGATTTTTCATATTTAAGCTTGAATCTAGGCGTCTTTAATGACCAAATCAGTTCAATCTTTTACATAAACTAATTGAATCGACTGAAGAAGACACTTTTAAATAAGTGTTTAAAATATGTCAAAAATCCTTCATCAGATGTACTTCAAATTTTAGGCCAAAATAAGCCTCTACCAGACCTTCTCCTTAGAATAAAAAGAAGGAATGGGTCTATCAACATTCATGTTAAATTTATCTTGAAAGAACGAAACCTTGTTAAGCACATAGCCTAACCCCATGACAAATATGTTCTTGTCATAGCAGATAAAGTCCTGAAAAACATCAGTTTTGTGTGCAAATCACATTACATAAACTGCTTGATAACGGAATTTGGTATTGACAATTCACTTGTAAACTCGATATATACTCCCAACAACACTTACGAAAGAGGAAATTCTAAACTATCATAAGTCTGTTCTATGTTCTTTTGGAATTTCAACCGAAGATGAAGAATTGGGTCTTCCATCAATGCACTGGATGCCAAATTACATGAATGTCCCTCAAACAACGTCACATTTGTTGGTCAGCAAATTACATGTACTTCACGAGACCTCTTTCAAATCTATTAACATCAATTAAATCCAGGCTTTAAAGTAACTGAAAATATCTACACTAGGGGAGATGTAAATCAGAGTAGATACTCAAATATTCCAAAGATCTGTTAGAGCAGCTACACTCTAAGTATTTGCCCACTTGCAACAGTATGAAACATTTGACTTCTCTACCCTTTACACCAGTATTCTCCATTCTAAACTTTATTATAGACAATAGTAGTTTAAAACAGTAGGGGAACCAACTGTGTTCGTCTTCTTGCCCACTTGTATTATTCATATGGGGCTGACTTTAAACATGAGCTTCTTAGAAAGAACTAGATATCATTGAGATGGGAGCCATCTCTGTGGGCCCCGCTGTGAATAATGTGTGGTAAAAAATTTGTGTCTTTATCATTGGACATGGGGTTGTCAAATGAAACCAAAGTTTTTGACCTTGACCTTTGACCTAGGAAGTTGTACATAAATTATGACACACCCTCTGGTGTTGGTTTATATACATATCAAGTATAAACTTTGAAATCATAACGGTTCTCAAGATAGAGAGCGGACACGATCTTTACCATAGGACATGGGGTTGTCAACTAAAACCAAATTTTTTGACCTTGACCTTTGACCTAGGAAGTTGAACATACATTATGACACACCCTCTGGTGTTGGTTAATATACATGTCAAGTATAAACTTTGAAATCATATCGGTTCTCTAGATATAGAGCGGACACGATTTGTTACGTACGGACAGACGGACGGACGGACTGATCACATTAGGGCGGCCGCCATTCGGCGGGGCCCTAATGAAAAGAAGCTAGCATTATTAATTAACTTCACTTTTGCATGATGCCCTCCCACTAAAAAAATACAAAACTATTTTGAATGCATCGATCCCATCGAACTTGAAATACAGGTTACCATATATACCGATAAGTCTGCCTCATATTTTGTCTTACATCTAGAAATTAGGGGAATCGAGGGTCAGTTGAGAACAAATCTTTACGACAAAAGGGTTGATTTCAGCTTCCTAATTTTTAACTTTCCATTTCTATGTAGCAACATTTAATCAGCGCTTGCAGTTAATACGTTATTCAAGATCATTCAAGAGCTTGCGTTTCCAACATGATTTACTTGATATAGGGTTAATACTGCTTATAAAGAAGTTATCGAAAAAAGGAAAATAACAAAGGAAAATTCAAAACGGAAAGTCCTTTATCAAATGGCAAAACCAAAAGCTCAAACACATAAAACGAATGGAAAACAAGTCATATTCCTGACTTGGTACAGGCATTTCCTTATGTAGAAAATAGTGGATTAAACCTGGTTTTAGAGCTAGCTAAACCTCTCACTTATATTACAGTCTCATAGAATTCCATT